ATGGCGTCCTCGATGTACCTTAGGTACTTAAATTAAATTCGTTCTATAGAGAATATTACAAACTTTACTAAGGCGTATTGTTGTTATCGACGCAAATCAAAACGTGTATTATGTAGTGCTACATGTAGCCTCTGTTGCTTCATAAGAGACCTATCTTGGAGCAATGTAAATAGGAGCAATTGTATTAATAGGGGGGTGCGTGACGATCGAAGTATGGTATGTAGCTAGGTACCTAAGGTATAGAAATATAATTATTTGTACGTAAAAAAATTAAATCACTACCCGTATTACGCTGGTAGAATCAGTTCCAGTGTTGATTCTAATTATTATTGATACGTACCTTAGTACTGCGTACTTTGATTTTGATTTTGATTTTGATTTTGAGTTGACAATATATGCGTATCCTAGGTGATGGCCACCTGTTGCGCTGGTGATGTTACTGATTTGATTTACTTAGGTACCTCTGATTTAATCCCCTACTTGAAGATTAAATATTTTTGATCTTCTAGTAATTGATTACATTCCCATCATTCCTAATCACCCCTCCGAAATTTACCTACATAAAGAAGCCCACCAGCAACCAAAATTTATTTCCAACTTCATCCACCTTCAACACATTTCCCAAACCAACCTCTCTTCTTCTATCCATACTACCTCACCAACAACATTCCCAATACCCTTCTAATTAAAGCTTTCATCCATATCGAACTTGTCCTTTAATCCTTACCTTAGTGCACCATACCTATTGACCAACCTCACTCAACTGTACGGCTATTATTTTGTTCTCATTTTCTTGAAAAGGTTTCTCTGAGCTCAGGTACGTGTTGAAATTTTATTTATCCGAACGCGTCTGTTATACTCTGGCAACAAAGTCTACGTGCCTGAAGTTTACACCACGAATGGCACAAGTCATACTTCTTCCTCCTCCTGCTCGCTACCACCACTACCAATTCTTTCCTACTTCATCACAAACCACTCAACATGTTGAAGACTTTCAAACTTCTTATTAAACCCATGAACCTATTCGCTAAATTACATTCACTCCATTACTCGTCTACCTAACCTTACCCTAACTTGTTGCCTAAACCCAGACCTTACACTAAACACCACTACCTTTTATTATTTTTATATTCTCAACCCTTTCCATTCCTTATTCTTAACCTAATCGACTCCGCACTCTTACTGTATTAAAATGCTAACACTTACGCTAGGCCCTCGAGACTTCTTTCTTGATTGTTTACATCTCGGCTCCCCTCGCCCACCTCACTGACTAGCCGCTGACCAACTGCCTCTTACCTCCCCTTTTACCCTGACCTACCTTTGACTAACTTATTACAACCGATAACTACCTTCCTCATTACTAACCACCGAACAATAATAGAATCCCTACTTCCAATACCCTACCTCCTCGCCCTACCTCGCCCTACCCTCGACTGACCAACACTCTTTCCCGACCGACAATCCTCCTCCTCTTCCTCGCCGACAGCCGCCCGACACTCCTCTTCGATCGACCGACCAACCTCCTACCTCCTACCTCCTACCTCCTCTCCCTACCTTCGACCAACCGACCGACCAACCGACCGACACTCTACACTTATACATATACAGGACAGGGATGTGGTGCTTGGTCCTGGGTATGAACTTGCACTAGAGGAATTTGCCCGAACCCAACAGTCAAGGACGCACCTCCGAAGGCTGAATGAAACCCTTTGCAGGGAATCGGCAGTGTGCGGTTAAACCCACGCTCGTACGGCCCGGGTCCCTCGACTTGCTCCCGTATTCTCTTACCTTTTATCTATGAGAGAAGAAATTCCGGTGATCGGTTCGAGTCCGGCACGCGGTGGGAGCGAGATATTGTAAGCCTGGAGAGAAGCGCACTCTGGACTATTTTCTCTCTTACACGCATTGCACTCTCGGCCTAGTAAACTGACCCTGCGGTAACTGAGGTGGGGTGAACGCGGCAGAGGGTATGTGACGCCGGGGTCTTTCACTGCTTTGGCTGTCCTAGGTGTGCCTTGGCTCAGTTGGAAAATGAATTTTTGGAACCTACTTAAAGGCTCGTGTGCGGCCTGTTTCTGGTATTACACTACCTCCAGAAACGAACGCATGCAACTGGGCTCAGTTGGTGAGCGGAATGCTCTAATGCATTCCATAATTTTTTGTATCAACGGCTGCACGTGGCCTGTGTCTCTGACCAAATACATGCACCCCCTTTTTCATTACTCTCTCCAATTTATTGGGGGTGTAAAGAAGAAGCCTAAGTTTAGTCATTATTATTATGTATCGATATTACTCATTGTCTTGTAAGATAGACCCTATGAGGATATCATCGTCCATGATGTTAGGATATGGCCGGTTTAGAGCAATACGACCGTATATTCCTCCCAGTTATGATTGACTGCTTAGGTACGCAAGATGGTTGAAGTTGATTTGTATATCAACGTTCCCCGGCTCGTTCATTTGTTTTTGGAAACATCGACAGCATGCATGTAGGGCTTTTGGTATACATGTATCGATCTTCGATCAAGTCGTTCTCTTTTAGGCTTTAATCTATGAAGGGTTACATTGTGAATGATCGACCCGGGGTGTTGTTGGGCTATGGGCTGTGCTTGACGTTGTACTATAACGTACAAAGCTCAAGAGATGGGCCAATGAGATTCTATCCCGAGCAGAGAGGGGCTGAACTGCTAGACTTGCCAAATATGGTGATTCCGACCGGAGCGGAGAATCAGCTAAGAAGTTTACATTTCCAATCAAGCTCATGCTAATAAGGTTATAAATTAAGGGTTTCCGTCTTATTTGAATTCGGGTTGAAAAGTTATAGAGCATAATTCATATCTAACTGATTACTTAAATCATGGCACCTCTGGGAATAGCAATTATCGGCGGAGGCATCTTCGTCAAAGAGCAGCATATAGTGAGTATTTTGGAGACCCTCGTGGCTTATTGTCCCTGTCAGTCTCTCACCACGGGACCGACGTCATGCAAAATTCTACCCAAGAGGGCTAGACCCCCTGGACAGACACATCCTAAATCTCCCCCCTTAAAAAGTGATATTAGCTAACATACCACCAGCCCGCTGCTCTTGCCTCCCCCCTGCTGTCGATTAAGGCTATCTGGTCTCGGTCTCGTAAGAGCGCAGAAGAAGCCTCATGGCTTGTTTCTGGTGATGCTACTACTCCCTCGGTGGATCTGTACTCGTCGGATTCTGGAGATGGCAAGTCTTATGAAGACCTCCTTAAGCGCGACGATATAACCGGAGTTATAATTGCTCTTCCAATCCTGGATCAGCCCGCATATATCGAAAAGGCCCTGGCAGCCGGAAAGCATGTCCTAGCGGAGAAGCCGATAGCCAAGGATCTTGAAACTGCTAATAAGCTGATCGCATACTCGAAAGAAATTTCGGCTGAGACTAAGGCATCCTTAGCTATAGCGGAAAACTTCCGATTCCAACCAGGCTGGGCCTACGGTGCTGAGGAGGTCAAGAAGCTCGGCAAGGTTACGGGCTTTGTAGTAAGGCTACACTCTATGATGGAGGCAACCAACAAGTACTACCTCACACCGTGGCGGACAACGCCGCAGTACCAGGGTGGGTTCCTTTTAGACGGTGGCGTGCACTTCACAGCCGGCATTAGGAAACTCCTAGGCGCAGAAAATGCCATTGACACCTTGGTGGCCCAAACCGCCTTAGTTTCAAGCCATCTGCCTCCAGTAGACTCCATCAATGCGGTCTTGAAAACGAAGTCTGGTGTAGTGGGTTCGTATATTACATCCGTGGGAACAACTATGGATGCATTCGAATTCGACATCGCCTGCGAACAAGGTGTTGTTAAGGCTGAGGGAGCTAAGGTAGTTACGCTCCGAGGAATTGGGAAAAATGCCGTGGCAGAGGAAAAGGTGTTCGAGAAGACTAGTGGGGTCAAGGAGGAGGTTCATGCCTGGGCTGAGTCCATTGTGTCTGGAGTACCAAATCCCAACCAGACTCCTGAACAAGCACTCGCAGATCTGGAACTGATTGAGAAGATGTTGTCAAGCGGCGAACAGGATGGGGCGCGTCAGAAGCTGGAGTACCAAGATTTCGTATAGGGGGGGCTTTTCACAACTTGCTGGAACTAGGTCCTACATGTAGCTTCTCGAGTCCCTGCCGTAGTTTAGAATCCATACCGTTGGAATTAGGTCGTTGTGTTGAGCGGTCTACGAAGACTTGAACGTATTCGCCCACAGCCTTGACTTGCTCAACGCCCTTCTCGAACAGTGCAATCTCATAGACGACACTGGATTTCCCCAGTTTATTGACCCGAAGGCAGAGTTCGGCAACCTTAGGGTATGATATAGGGGAAAAGTAATTGCAATGCGTTTGGGCCATTAGAGGGTGCTGCGCCGAGGTTGGTGGATGGAGAGCACAATGGTCAATCAAGTAAGAATTAATCACAGAATCAAAGCTAGTAGACGTCTGGTGTTAGAAACCTTTCTACTTAGTACTTAGTGTAATCGGGTTGACTAACAGAAAGTTATATACTGAATTGTTCATATGATCGTACATGTCGTTGTCGCTCCTAGAGAGAGGTGTTAGTCACTTAGAGGTCTGAACATCGTCTTCGGGATGTAGGGATGGGCATACCATCGTGTTCGATATTCAAGCATAAAAGGGTAATCCTTTCTACTTCTACTTTTTAATTCCTTGCTTTGAGCCATGTCTATATAATTACTCGTACCAGATGAATATTTGGTGGATTTCTAGTCGGCTCAGGCTGGAATGTTGAATGTTGTATGTTGTATGTTGTCATCTTATCTTAGGAGGTATTTTTGAACTAAAATCTGTCGGTACCTAAGTAGGTTACATCCATGTTCCGCTCCCGTCCACTCCGGGCGGTTAGGTACTTCGTACAACACCGGATATTTTGGTCGGGCCGTTCTATACTGCCGACGCTCACCGACAAAATTTCCCCAGATACGCAAATGGTCTTTAAATTTGGAACCTTGAATATTACATACTTTAGGAATGTAACAGGGACCCCGCAATTAACCCCAATAGATTAGACTTTGGAGAAAATGTGATGCATTTGTGAATTCTACCATTCTGTACCTAAAGTGCGAGCTTATTTTTACCGAAATAATTCGACGTTGGCAGTGCTTCTTCGATCCATCATCTATCATGAGTCACGTCGCAGAACTGTCGCCTTCCTCGACAACAACCCCTGCGGCAATCATTATGCCGGATATCGAAGCCTTGACCATCACTGAGCCAGCAACGGCCATGAAAAAAGAGAACGGTATATCCTCTAACCTAACTACTCCGTGCGCTGATATTTGGCCGCGGCCATATTACTTCGAGAATGGTTTGCGACGTATCGCTCCGTATCATTTCACGTATAAAACCTGGTGTAAACAGCGATGGAGAGGCAGGAAGCTTATAGACGTGTTCGAGAGCGAGTTTAGAGACCGACCTCTAGCATACTATAAAAACGCCATGGAAACAGGTCAAATATGCGTTAACGGTAAACCGACTAGTCCAGATCATATCCTCAAAAATGGAGAGCTTGTGTCACATACGATACATCGGCACGAGCCACCTGTTACGGCAGATGATATAGGAATTCTCCACGAGGATGAGGATATGATTGTGATTAACAAACCTTCTGGAATCCCGGTCCACCCCGCAGGAAGATATAATTTCAACTCCGTCATCGAAATTATGAAGGCCGAGAGGGGTCCAGACTGGATCGCATATACTTGCAACAGGCTCGACAGGTTAACCAGCGGCATCATGTTCGTCGCAAAGAACCCCAAGGCGGCCGATCGCCTAAGCGAACAGATTAAACAAAGAAGTGTGCGAAAGGAGTATATTGCTAGGGTTATCGGCAACTTCCCCGACGAGGAAGTAGTTTGCAATCAGCCTTTGCTTCAAATTTCCCCAAAACTTGGGTTGAATCGAGTACGGGCAAACGGGAAGACGGCTCGCACGGTTTTCAAAAAGCTAGCATATTATCCCCCACGTGAGCCGCGACGGGAGGGAGATAACGATCCTTCTGAAATAGAAGGCGTTTCCGAAGATAAGGGTAGGCCATGGCTACGTAAAGAAGGATATTCTATTGTGCGATGTCTTCCAGTTACCGGCAGGACTCATCAGATCCGCGTTCACCTCCAGCATTTAGGACACCCTATCCAAAATGATCCCATTTACGCTAACCAAAGGGTTTGGGGAATGAATCTCGGGTACAATGACCCCGAGGCCCTTGAAAACACAGATGAGGATATTATTACACGTCTCAATCGGATGGGAAAAGAAGAAGTGGCAGACGCCGTTGCTTACCATGACGAGATGGTGGACGAGTACTACAAGAGAAAGGCTGAAAAGATGTCTGGTGAGCTCTGTAAGATCTGTGATACACCATTATACACAGATCCCGGACTGCAGGAGCTCTCGCTATGGCTACATAGTCTTCGATACGAGGATGCGGGTGGCGAGTGGAGCTACGTTAGCCCTCTTCCTGGATGGGCTTTACCCCCTTCTGGCATGTCAGGGCCTACAGAAGTCGGAGGTATGGAAGAACTGGTCTCAGCAGTAAAAGATGTCAACCCCGAAATTGTATGACTCCCTACGCGTTAACCCCCAATCGACCACCACCTATCGAATAGTTCGAAGAGAACGAGCAAGTAAGGACAGCATTGCCCATTTGGTCGGTACCGGGCGGGATTTCAAGTACCATTACCTGATTCGCCAGTTTCTTCCGACGTTCACCTACCCGAAGCAATGCGACCCTTTATCACAACCCTTCACGACTAAGTGGGACGTAAAGTCCAAGTACGGAATTGTGCGGTATACTTCTTTACTGCATCACAAATAGTGCTTATAAGGACTAGTCTAGTGAAATGATACTAGTTATCTACCTGGGTACCTTAGCTGGTTAGTGGTGAAAATACACCTGCTTAGAACTACTAATAGGTCTGGAGTCTTGCCCCGCCGCTTGGGTTATTTTCATAGACAGAGTTCAGACGGCATCCAGGCATTGTATGGGGGTCACGGCATCCAGGCATTGTATGGGGGTCACGGCATCACTTTGATCTTGATCTCCATCCCGCGGGTCTTAGCTCCATCGAAGGAGCATTCGCCTTGAACTAGTTTCGGTTTCATTAGGCCACCGTACTTCGTTTCACGCGTCGTTACTTTGACACGCCCGGCAAAGACAATGTGTAGCCCTTTTGGGGCTCTGCGTTAACGTCGGGGATCGTACCTGTTATGAGACTACTCAATAATAGCTATATTACGGAATACGGCTAGAGATCTTAGTGGTATATGTCACTCACGATATAGAAATCATCTTCAGCCGTCACAGCTAGCGAAAAGTTGCAGTAGCGTTTAACAACGGTTGAAGTCGGCGCAAATATTACGGATATAATAATCAAACGCGTCAGCATTCACCTCTATACGTCTTAACATCCTTGCAAATCCGCTGGGAGTAACTTAGGTACCTAATCCGAAGGTCATAAATATGATACAGCTTTCCTTTTCTATGTGGCAACCAAACCTCCGTTTCTACCTACTCAAGAATTATAAGGTCTTACAGCTCTTCAGAGAACATTAAATTTTCCATAAAAATTGAGGTCGCTGAATTCGGAAAGATAAGACCTAGAAAATGTTAGCATCATAGAGGTTGGTCTGTGCAATTATCAACTCGCCCAATTGGTCTCAACTAATCGGACCAACCCGAAGCCTACATTTCCCCCAGATTTTGATGTGATTTCTAGCATTAACCTACTATCTTTGTATAGACGTACTTATGCGCCCTCTTCTTCGCCCATTCCGGGGGTTCGCTCCGAGGGGTCTTCCATAGGCCGGTTCAAAATGGCCTCCATCTAGTGGCGTAGCGTAAAGTCTACTTGGAAACCCTGACCTTGCCGTTAACGCTATATTCCGATGTCCTAGGACACGCGCCTCTGTGTCGCTGCATCGAAGCTTTCTAGCAGACTAGGATTGAGGCTGTCAAGATTACTTAGGCTAGTTTGGAGTGGAACTTTACCTTCGGGTCCGTCGATGGGATAGCTATGTACCTAGCGAGTATGGCCAGAGTATATTCTAGGCTATCTTTCGAAGAACTACTTGTGTACGTAGTAATTTGGTAAATACCTAGGAGGATATTGGCTGTCTGGTTATGAGTTGGATTCCTGTAACCTGTCTGGAATTTACCTCCTTGCAGTACCGGGGGCATCCTTCAAGCTCTAGTCTCCCATGGGGAAGCCGTTTCAAGGATGGTGGGCTAGTTACACTGTTCGTAGCTTTAGTTCTTACCATATGGCAGTTACATGTTTAGTCACCCCATCTAGTTATTATATAACTTCCAGGTTATGTCAACATGATTGTCATCTGATCTTCTGCTATGTAGATCGAAACGACTAGACACATCGTCCAATCCTTAAAATACTTAGTATCACCTATGCTTCCAGACACGCCCTTTTCCATATCATCATCTTACACAAGAGTTATACTGCAGTCAACACTGAATCCGAAATATTTCCAACAGTATGAAGCCCGCAGGAGAGACCAACAAGGCTGGGAAGCGCAAAGGTAGCGTATACCCTATCATTTTTGAGTAGTCTTGGCTGAAGTTGACCTTATGCATATAGGGACCAGGAGTGTATCTACACTTACTCCTACGCAGCTCGCTCGGAAGCGTGCCAACGACAGAGAAGCTCAAAGAGCAATTCGTGCTAGGACGAAAGAACATATTGAAAGCCTTGAGAGAGAAATAGAAGAACTCCGCAGCCATCAAGATCGAGACAAAACTATTCAAACCCTCCTCCGGAGAAATAAAACCCTGGAAAATGAACTTCGTCATCTTAGAGAAAGCATGGGTATTCGTGCTGCTAACACAAGCGAACCATACCACCCTGGTATGCACGATATCTTATATTCAGGGTGCGATTTAGCGACTAACCCTTTTACAGTATTCCACAGTTCTAGCCCTTCGGAACCCCATTCCTTCGGGCAGTCTGGACCCAGCTTCCCCATGATGCAGAACATCTCTTCTTACAACAACATGCCCGATGCTGCAGAAGGTTGGCCATCGACTAGGCCATGTTCCCTTCCATCTACAGTCTCTAGCCCTGTTTCCTCCGTTGGTACAGACGATTTTGGAGGTAATTACATTCCTAGTGGTGCTCCCACCACAGTCTTTGAGCGGTCTAGTCTACCCCCAAATGTACACTCTCCTACCATCTCTTGCGTCAATGGCGAGGCCACCTTTGACGACACGAAGCCAGGTATGTTTCCGACTGCGATATAGCAAGTTTATATCTGAGTTTCTAATTAATATAATTATAGGATTTGGATGCGACCCGATCAACGTCATGCCTGTCAATCCAACTTATCATTTGCAACCGTGGAGTATGTACCCAATGCCGCAATACCAGCCCCAACAGGCTACACTCGGGCACAACTCGCATATACCCCAGATTGGGAGATGCACGTTCTAATCATGAAGGCTTCATGCCGAAATGATGTGCTCCTGATATGATATATCGAGGACTGCCGATGCCTGATTAATATGGCAGGAGAGCGATCGCGATCTGAAGTCATATTTGGTTCGGCGCATCCAGACGCCCGACCACTTCTACGCGAGTCCGCCGAGGCCATGTCCGCCCTTAAGATACAAGGACATCCAACATAGCCTCCATCGAGTAAAGGCAAAATGTTGCTATCACATCCTCTCGTCGACTTAGCTGCTGCGCTGTTTGATTGTGACCACCTGGTTGGGACACTTGAACGCGTAGGTAGCTTATTGTCTGGTTAATCAGACCGATTCACGGAGCATATACTAGACTCAGCAGAGTTTTAACACCTCAGCCGAGTCAGCAGATCATACCACACCGGCAATGGGTCGATTTGCTTTTCCGGCGGGCGCCGCGAGACGCAGTTACCAAGCAACAAGACAGCTTCACAAGGCGTTATCCGGAGTCCACAGGTACAGTCAGTATTGCCACGCACTCACATTAAGCTATCTTGATATAGACTTTTTATGGATTGAGTTATGGATGGGATGAGAAATGATTAATATGAAAGGAATTGGAAGGAAATTCCCGGTGTTTTAGGTGGCCAGTAAGGCAATATGTTAAATACCAAAATACTTATCTTGACTAGATATTAGATATATACTGCACACTCAATTAAAGATCACTACAATAACTACCTCAGTTCTTATTTACACGTTGTGTTCGAAACTTATTATAACAAGCTAGGTGCCAAGCTCAAAAATGATAGGCAAGACTCCTGCACTGTGAGCTTTCGATTCATAATATACGCCATTTCCTACAATAGGTAGATGCTTATTCAGGATGCCAATGTCTGAATTTAGTTTATGTAACGTTCCCTTTGATCTACATGGAGACCTTTGATCTACATGGAGAAAGCAGCAGACCTGGGGTAGTGCAACTCCACATCGACTAGTAGACTCCCTAGGGTACATTATGATAAAAGAGAACACCAACAGAGAGTGGTAAGTCTTTAGCAATGGAATAAGGGCCTTGTTATTATTCCCTACCTTAGGTACCATTCAACCCAATATTCTATCCGCCGATGGAATATTTAATCGTGATCTACGTGTTTTATCCCAACCATTATAATTAGATTTTTATCGAGATTCAGCCTCAATGTCCCTTGCTGACGACTCTGCGTTCCCCAAACACATCATGTGGCTTGTAGGATGAGCCAAGTTCAGGTGTAATCACAACTACGGTGTATTCCGTTGATATCCGAAAACTAGCTGGTGGACTTAACAAACACAAGTAGGTTAAGTGGTTGCACAAACTGCTTAGTTACAATTGGTGATAACTAGGTGGTGGCTAAATAAACTAGACGGCCAAGGTGGCTCTCTGATCCAGACCAAAGTAGACTCTTGTTGACAATCTGGCTACTTCGAACTCTTAACCTTTCCCTTCGTGAATTTTAGCTGATAACCATAACTTCACTTAGCTGGTTAAAATGGTTATTAGGTTAGCCTAATTAAGTCAGCCTGGTATAAATGCTGCTTAGTGTAGAGGCTACCTAAATACCCAAAATGATCACCAGCTAAGTTCTAGCTTCGCATCGACATCCGAATGTAGCCCTCCCGTGTCTAATTTTGCACTAGGTAGGTAAATATATTGCTACTGTCATAACCCGAATATGTCTACCTAGGTAGTTAGTGCTAAAACCGGAGTGTTGTAACGACAGAGTTAATCGGCGCTAAACCACTAAAATATCGAAAGCATACGTGTCCCATCCACACACGACAGCCTCAACGGCTAAACAGTGGTATACGATTCTTGATCCCTAGACTATCACCAAACTAATACACAATTATTAATCCCATTCACGGCTAGCTTAGGGTGCATGCGATATATAAAATCCTGCAAGGAAAGCTGACTACGTTGTTAGTGGTCTATCTTCGCACACTTCAAGATATCTCGCGTGTATGGCGGAATATTGCGGCCACGTATATTATAAAATTCCGATCATGTAGGCCATAGCTTTTCCAGATGATTTCGTAATAGCCTCTACTTGTCCAGTATGAAATAGAGTCATGAGATCATTTCGCATCATTCTTGGCTAAGTGACACGTGGACTAGGAACTCGAATGATCTAGCTGAACTCTACCTGGAGACAGGCATACCTACGGATCCCAACATTCTTACGCGTAAGTTGCAAGGCGTAGATATACCTAGGTTAGCTAAGTACACTACAGACCTTAGCATGGTTTGCAACTAGTAACAAGTAGTAATACTTTCTATTTTACTATAACTACCTGTCTATGTATCAGCCGCAATACGGGTCGTGAATATCCCATCTCCTCTATACCTTCTATTAAGGCTTCAAATATATTATTATAATAACTAAATCGGCAAAGGAAGCAATAAAATATAACTCGTTTATTAAAAAAATCTACAATTATATGTTATAAGCGCCTAATAATCTACTTGTACTATAACTTTATGTTAAGGGCGCACAAGTATCTAGGTCTCTATACAACTTTTCTTCTGGAACCACGGAGAGGATTCGCGGCCAGGAGCTCCATAAAAATATACTACTTATTGTATACTATAACGCTAAGACAATGGGTTTACAATGCCTAGGTACACGTTTAGTCGGTCCTAATAACCTACCAATCATGTGCAATTTTGCCGCTACATCAACGCAATTTTCCCCTACGGAACATAAATAAAGTTTTACTATCCCATGCCGGCGCGGCCCTTCTCGTAGGCTAAAACCGGAGCGACCTCCGGATTACATTGGTTTAGATTCGGAGATGATATCCGATAGGAGTGTAACTACTAGGTACGTAGAAGCAGACTCTTACCCCCACACGGGAGCTATCTACTTTGAGGCACTTATTCATGCTGAAGCCGGACAATATGAATATAAGTTAGTCTGGCCTTACGCAAGGTCCTAAAAACTAAGGCGCCAGTTGCCAATCATCACACGAGCTATTAGGATCTACGGCGGTACCCGTCTTGTCCTTGATCTGGGCGGACAAAGCCTTATTGCCATAGCCGTTGTAGTATCCTAGTGGATTCACATCATAGTATTAGATAGGTACCTATAATATTTAAATAAACAACCCAGGAAACTAGATAGACCTCAGATCTTACCAGTGTCTTTAGCAGCAGATCGATATTTTAAACCAAATACGCACCTCTTAGTAGCTTGTCGACGAGATGGTTGATGGGGTCCTCTGGGATTGTATCTCAGCGAGAATTGATAGTTACCTAAGTTTGGTCATTCCACGGAGCTTTTACGGACAGACCGCAAAGTTGTGGAATATTTCGCAGTAGAGTGACTCGTTTAGTGGCGGAAAAGGAACTACGATATTCCTCTAAGAATTGAAGGATTGCCCTCTGAATATGGAAACCCAGGTTTATGCCTGTACTAGTGTTGCCTTTCTACAGGTGATTTTTGTTAGCACATCTGAAGAGTAATGAGTTCGCCTGTCTCTAGGATCTCTAACCATCCGGTCCAGCGGGATAGGTAACCCTAATAACGCCACTAGAGGTCAATGGTGAAACCGACAACTAAATAAACTAAAGGGCTACTTATTGACTCGCATTCGAGTCGATGCCGAGTTTTTACCTAATATATCATATGGGAATCCATTTAAATACCCTATAACCACAAAGGTTCCTGGCAATATAAAGTTTGCACCTGCTCTAGCTTTTCCCGGCAATCTTATACCCAGTTCTTTACAACCATCGGCCACGTGTGAGCCATGTAGTCCATAAATCTCGTGGGCAGTGAGGTCACCGGAAAACTTGCTCCGATCCTAGTCAGGAGACATCTTGCTGCTGCACAGTCTCCACCGCTCGCCACTGGACCTGGATATTCGGATCCATATTGTGGTACACAAAAGACGTCAACCTTGTGACTTCTCTCATGATTCACTCTTGAAGGGACGACTACGTGGTACCGAGTAACTAGTTGATTTCTGCTGCAGAAATCAATCCCCGGTCAGATCCCGATGCCACCAGACCCCGATGCCACACATTCCATGACGTTCAATGGTAGGCGATGCAGTCATTCTTAGAATATACCTAATGGCGGATGGTTTTCTCCGCTGTATAGTTCGCAAATCTATTGGATCGGGGAAATGGTACCTGGTTGGAAAACCCCTACTGATGAGCGAAATAGGTAAAATACCTAATAGTCAAAACAATTAGTAGTTGCAAAATTGGGCCTCCTTGGATAGTATCTTAACTTAGCCCGCGTTCTTCTTTCCACCATACCTAGCCATAACACCATCAGCATTATGCATTAGAGCTACGGATACAACTCGACTTATCCGTAAGACTGGGTCGCATAAAGCGGTATGCGCAATGATTTCGGTTGATGTAATTGCTACGGAATAGAATAATATTCGACTTTCGGGGGAACTAAGAACCGTGCTATGTAGGTACCTAAGGTAGTAAGAATATGTGTGACGATAGTATGTGTAACTAGGTATATCAGTGATAACTACTATAACTGTTAACTAGATCTTTTACGGTATCACAAGTTTAGTCGTTTAATAAGCCACTGCTTAAAAAAAACTCAAACTTAATATAACTAACTACCAACAATTAAATAACTACACTCTTTATTACGTATTATAGGGTTGATAGGTAACTTAGCTCTTCTAGTCGTTGCACGTTCGGTGTAACTTAGGTACTTAACTACCTAATACTTAACTACCTTAGGTTAGGTAGTTATTCGCAATAAGACAAGAGGTCGCTTTCAGCAAGATTGGTATTTTAGTAGTACAGTCCTACTAGTTGATATTGGACTTTGAGTCCGACGAGTTTTAGGTCTAATAATATAATTTTACTTACCTAATTGCCATGTCGAAGATAGTTGCACGATAGAAACCGTCTGTTGAAGATAGATTAGACTTCGGTACTTGACAAGCCACAAGTTTCACTAACCCTTGTAGAAGCCATGGCTGTGTCTACCAATAATAGACGGAGGAATGACCAAGCTTGGAAAGGGGTCTCAGGCGTGTGGACCCCGCTGCAACTAATAAAGACAGTCAACGGTGCCCAGACTACGGATTACCAGAGCTTCGCTTAGCAATTCTAACTGGTTGATAAGTCTGCAAGGTACACGTTTTTACTCTTCGGCACTTGAGCGTTTAAATGGTCATTCATAAGAGCTACAGGCGCTGGGTGAGGATGATCAGTGTCGCGTCGATGATAAACATCTTTTAAGGGACATGAGGCATCGATGGCAGTGGGGCGAAACCAGGTACCTTAGGTAGACAACATTTCATTTCTGATACTAACGGGGCAAATACACCATTCCCCTTTATGTATCGTGCCTTGTCAGTAGGGATAATATGAGCGATAATATTGAAAGATCTAAAGTCATAATATTTTTGTATTTGTCCTGCCCGAATAGGAAAGCGAGATCTCTTGCAAACAACCTAGAGATCTCTAACCTACATAGTTAGCTAGCTGGGTGGCGTAGCATCAGGGGTACGTTTGGTGATGCGGGCGCGGGGACCCTTGTCTATCGTGGGCCTCGCGCGAGCTCCTATTTGATCCAGCTGTCTTGTAAAACTTGGTAACAAGCTCACAAGGCCCGAATCCATACAGGACCCCTTAAGACATTCTAGATGCAAATGTAGAAGGTCTCAGTCTCTATCCGGGATGGCCGCCCACATGTCACAGGCACACGCTAGAAAAGGAGCCTTTATAATGTTTTGTTCCTGATGAAAGAGTCTCGCGACCCCTGGTCATTCTCGACAATTCCCATTGGTGTTTTGTTTGTTCCCCTCTCAATGCTTTCATGCGCCCGACCATAAATATCCCCTATTTAAATACAAGGGCGCTCTGCAACAATATTATGGTGTCGCGATAGATCCAGATCTAGTCGAGATCTTCATTCATTGTTCGATTCTATATATACTTACCTAGTGTTGATCACTATACAAATTCAGTTCTTCCTTAAACCATTTTTACCTACAGAGACTATCACAGAAATGCGCAATAATATCCTTATCTCAGCCCTTGCCGTCGCGGCGGGGTCTCTCGCAGCAGACTGTAATGGTCATGCTGAGCTCTGCGACCGGCAGTATAGCAAGGTCACCTTCGTGGGGGCGCACAACTCGCCTTTTGTTGGGGTTGGCCCAGCAGACAATCAGTTAACCGACCCGACGGAACAACTAGACCTAGGTGTACGATTCCTTCAGGCGCAGACCCAAGAAAAGGACGGATCGCCCCAGATGTGCCATACCTCGTGGTAAGTTATATCTTAACTCTATTACTTCATCGCACGGACTTAATAGTAATTCTTTGCGAAATAGCTTATTAGAGGATGCCGGCTCATTACAAGACTATCTGGGCCCTATTAAAACTTGGATCGATGCTCACCCAAACGAAGTTGTAACGCTGCTTCTAACAAACCCCGATGCGATTGACATCAACAAGTATGGCGATGTATTCAAGTCGACTGGGCTGGATAACTACGTCTTTACACCGGATAAGACGTTCGGTCTAGATGACTGGCCGACTCTGGGAGATATGATCTCGAGCGGCAAGAGAGTCGTGGTATTTATGGGTATGAGTTACCTATATCCCGAGTTCTTCGACTGGGTAGACGGTAAACTAATAGCTAATAGATTACAACATGGATACTTCCAAGGTCCCGTACATTCTAGACGAGTTCGCCTACTACTTCGAGACTCCTTTTGATCCGACAGAGGATATACTAAGTGGATGCGGCGTTGATAGGCCCTCGGGCGTTTCAGCTGACGGCCGGATGTTCCTCGCCAACCATAACCGGAATGTTGAAGTCTTACCTGATGTCTTAATCCCGGATCTGGTTGAGGCGCACAATACGAACTCGGTAGAGTCTATTACCGAGCAGACAGACACATGCAAGAGTAGCTATGGCCGCGTGCCCAACGTAGTCTTGGTGAGTATACCTGCCTAACATCCTAGCAAAACTGGGGTATTCTAGTCAACGCGTTTCACGGGGAATTGCTAACGAATTGGTGTAGCTTGATTATGTTAGCGTGGGGGACACAATAAAAGCCCAGGACTTACTCAACGGGCTATAGATCTCTTAAGAAAGATCTCTTAAGAAACGAGATTTTATGAGGCGATACTTTATCATAACGATGATGACGACCTTTTATTTTTGAGCGTTACCTATTCCTAGTTCCTTGCATGTTAAGATGATACCCAATTAGTTGGTGGATCATTCATGTCTGGGATCAACGCAGACAACGTTATGGTCTCCGTTAATTTTCATGTATATACTTGAGACTACATTCTCTAAGAGATGGAGTTGTCTGTTGATTAGAATATTTTTGTTATTGACAACCTAAGTTACAATGAGTATACCTATGCGTAGTAGGTACAAAGCATCGACGCCGAATCAACCCAATAATCCTTTATACTTTTACGTCTATTCATAAGTCCTTTGAGGCTTTGACTCTTAACAATCAAGCATTTGCTCCTATGAAGTACTTTTATATCACAGGTATTAATAGTTCAACATTAGAGGTTTGAAGTAACGCTAATTATAATGAGTACTTAGTCGTAAACATAGCTCGACGGCTTCGTCTAAGCTTGGTCTCGACATTATGTACCTAGGTAGGTATCTAGGTTCTATTATTAGTAATATTAGTAATAATAGATTGTACAAAGGAATAACTTAGTATAAGGTCGAGAATGACTACGCGGTACATACATTTTTAACGCGAAGTAAAGCTATGTTGACGAATGAAGGAATTTAGATTCCCCAGCGTGTAAGTTCAGTGTAAGTTCATCAAATCGGCCAATCGCAGGGCAGCTATAAATATCGTTCTCTTCAACAAGCGCGGGCGGCATTCTGGGCGCTTGGCAAAGGTTCTAAAATCCATCGCAGCCAATCAATGTCTCCGCATTACAAGGAACTTCAAAAGTGAACCAATCAGCGCTCTGAAGATAGAAGGAAACTCTAGGGTCCGTAGCTTGCCGCCGGTATGCTACCTTGGATCCAATAGAGAGGCACATCACGATATTCTCGGATCTGGAGCCGCATACGCTATGCCGGTATGCCGGTATGCCGGTATGCCGGGCAAGTATACTTATTTAAAAGGGCCATTGCCGCAAGGAGGAGGAAAGTCAAGAACTCGTTACTACATCATCTCTACTGTCAGTCTGTCATCAGCGTTTCCTTTTGTTCATATTTCTATCTTTGTGGAAAGGTTACGATTTTTATATTTAATCCTTAGTCTCTTAACGTACCTTTGACTTGATCTTAACGCCAATTGATACCCCGATAATATCTTCATATATACGGAAACATGAAGTCCTCTAGTACACTCAGCCGGCTGAGCTTAGTTGCCTCTGCAGGTATGCCTCCTCTCATTACCCTGGACTTATATCAACTACTAACATAGAGTAGCTTTATCGCTCTTCACTACTTTCTCACAAGCACAGGATGCTAATAGTACTTCATCAAATACGACCGCTGGCTCGGTCTTTATCTCACCCCCGCGAGACCTTGCCTTCGCACTCAACGTCCCTAGCGATTCTACCACTGATCTATACTTCTCGCTGATGTTTCCGGAGGGAACGAGTTGGGGAGCCGTTGGACTTGGATCCGATCGTATGGCTGGCTCATTAATTCTGCTGGCATACCCATCAGAATCAGGGCAGAACGTCACATTATCACCACGAATCGCTTCTGGTCACTCAGAACCCGTATATACCCCCGATATCAAGGTTGAAGCATTGGATGGTACTGGGCTCGATAATGGGACGTTCATATTCAATGGGCGTTGTGGCAACTGCCGGTCATGGTCAGATGGGAATGGAAAGATCGATGTTGCGAGCAAGTCGCAGAATATGATATACGCCACGGGCGACAGTAGCACTCTCAAGTCTGATTCGTTCGATGCGCCACTGAGAATGCACTATAACTATGGTACATTCACGTTAGACATGGCCCACGCTACGGGACCGGCGGGCGTTCCGATAATTGACAGGTCGGAGAACAGCACACTAGTCGCTACGACTCAGGGGCTATCAAAGGAAGGTAAAAAGGATGTCGCGGCCTTGATGCACGCGATCATCATGGTTTTCGTGTTCGTTGGTCTATATCCATTCGGCATTTTTGTTCTACGCTTGGGAAGCTGGGTCCGTTGGCACGGGATCAACCAGGGCTTCGCTTTCATTCTCACTATTGTCGGCTCGAGTCTTGGCTTCTCGATCAGCAAGTACTACAATAGGGTACGTGGGCCATTATATCGTGAGCGTTGAAAGATAATACTAACACACTAGTAGTCCAAGAAGGTCAACACTGCTCACCAGGTTATCGGCATTCTCATCTTCATTTTCATTTTCGCCCAGTTTGCTCTGGGCTTCTTGCACCACCGCAATTTCAAGAAGACACAGCAAACGACCAAGATGGCCCCTATTCACGTATGGATGGGCCGCGTGATCATCGTTATGGGTGTCGTTAACGCATTCCTGTAAGCTTCCTCCTCACCCTATTCAGCCCAGATGAAACTTACTAAATGAAACTTACTAACATTGAAACCCAGTGGCTTCCCGCTCGCTCAGGCATCGCAGTACAACTATGTCCTCGCAGGTCTCATTCTTTTCCTCTTCCCAGCCATGATCCTCATCCTCGTTACGAAGAAGTTCATCCAAAAGAGGTGGAATAAGTCTAAGAACGAACCAACTGGTTACAATATGGAGCCGTGGAACCAGCAGAACGGCCAGGCAGGCCAAGGTAACGGCGCCGCGAATACACAACAGCCTATGGGGCAGAACGTGGGCATACCGGGTATGAGCACGTATGCGCCGTATCATGCACAGGGCATGAAGGCAGATCTCGGGCCGCAGCAGAATACTCGGGAATACGTATAAGGAGGTTGTATGATGGACTTAATTAATTACCTAGGCTGTGCCGGTATAAAATGCATCAATAGGGCGTTTGGGTATCGGATCATTCATTTATACTCGGGCGGGCAAGGGACGAGGATAGGTCAATTGGGTAACGGGGCGCAACATGAATACAATGAAAAAGGGGCAGTCATTTCCAACCGGTCACCTCCATGTTTCCATATTTCCAATATTATTGCTCTTTATGATTACCTTAGGTGCCTATAATATGGTAGCAAGAGGCAAACGTACCTAACCATCGTGTACGTCTTAGTCGAAAGTATGATACCGTGCGGTAACGTTCTTGTGTCTCAAGTATACACTGTCTGAATATTCCTCATATGAGCCAGCCCCTATATTCCTACAAATATAGACGCATATCGGTATTTAACGGGTTAGCAATAAATTATAAGGCGGAAAGGGAATCCGATGTTACTGAACACGAGGCTTCAAGATACATTACCCCTTGTTGGTATTCATCAAAAGCTATGCGACACGCTTGATACCCTTATGTGATCTAAAAACGAACCGTTTCTCATGGGTAGCTTTATGGCTGTCAAATATGTTACGAGGTTGAATGCAACGTAACATAATTATGTGTCCTCCTTTTCAATAAATATCTCTATATGCGCCTCGCTACCTCCAGCATGGTATTTGGAGTTAACTTTAGCCTACCTTCGTGGGACTAGCCGTAACCAGGGGGGTTCTGGCAAAATACATAGCCGTGCAGCACTCGTTAACAGCACCCAGGAAAGATGTTAATGGAATGATGAATAAATTGATAAATAGGGAATAAGACTTGCTCTAAAGTACCATCAATTGTTCTAGAAAGTAACTAGTTAATCTATCAGGTAAGTAATGTGCGCATATGGCCTACTTGCAAGTTCGACGGGGTTTCACGGCGCGTACCGAAAGGAGACATAACGGAATGTATAAGACAACATCTAGAATTCGAATATCATCACGGCTAAAACTAGACAATGGAACCACCTAGCCATGAATGCAAGGTGACGATACTAAATCTTACCAGTAACTACGTTTGAAGCTGACGCTTTGCCCTTTTATCTACCAATTAATTTTCTATGCTAGGTTGAAGGCTCGCCTGGGCCGGACTGTTTCCTGCGGTCTAGAAACATGCATCTACAGGCTGAATTGAGCCTATATAGCTTCGCGGCACCTTTAATGGCTCGTTACTAAATGTGCCTACTAGAACCTAGTATTTGGTCCTCGATCTAGCCAGTTACTGGCGTATAGAAATCTGTCAGGGTATTATGGGTCAGGGGTAGCTACAGGGGTCTATCGACTATATAAGAGGCGCGAAGCGCCCTCGTAAGAGGATAGAAGGCCAGGCGTTACAAGATCAATACTATTATTATTACTTGGTCTACCTATCCTAGACACTCACTCTGTGTATGACATCAATCGACGGGTATAAATCCTGACAAAATCCGTTCCACGACAGCCACGACAGCTTACAGCTTTTCGGGCTTCACTCTCACTATTATTAGAAACCACGAGACCATTTAATACTACACCTTGATCACTTACTAGGCCAATTTTAGAGGCTCTTGTCATATCTGCTGTAACTACAAAAGGATAGCTTAGGTAGGTACCTAGCGACTCACCTAAAGCGACCTCCTCGTGATTTAGAGCAGTTCTAAGCCGACAGCGCTTGGTATTTTGTTCTAAAATGGCTTCTCAAATCTCGAGCTTATGGCTTATTCTAAGTCTCTTCACCTTGAGAGCTCTCGCTGCGTGTGCTAGTTACGGTGTAGATTACGTGAACGGCGGTTCATACGACATCGATGCGTCTTCAAACGACAATTTCACATTCACCACTATATTCCAGGGTATAACAGTATTCTTATACACGAACTTGGAATAAACATAGGCTGACGATACTTAGGATGCGATCAAGAGTCTGTAAAGCCAATTCTCATAGATCCTAACGGCGGTCAACACCCCTGCTCTGCTATAAGTACAACACCTGCCGGAACTCAGGTAACCTCAACATGGTGAGACACAACCAGTTTTAACTTGGTGTTAATAAGCTGCTTATTATCATTTAGTGAAATCAAATACTCTGCCATGACTTCCGGGTTATACAAGATAATCATATCTGGAAGTGCAATTGGTGTTCAAAGGACTATTGCCCTGACAGTCGGCACCCCTGATGTGATTACTATCACTGTGAGAATATAATTCGTCAAATACCACGGTCAGTTGTTGCCAATACTAACTTCACTATAGGCCACGCCTACTGTCGTAGTTGGTGTTACCAGCACACCTAACGCAACAAGTACTAAAACCATGCCCAGTTGATTAAGAAATAGAACCTAATATAATAATAGCAATATACAAAACCATTGCCCAAACGCTGACTTCAACTCTGCCACCTGCGACGGTGACGACACCTTGCGATGGCACCACGCAAACAGTGACCATCACACCAACGGCACCAACAATTACTAGCACATATTTGATTACTCGAACTGCTACAGACAAGGTTACAAGCTACTCGACAACCACGATAACAAAGACAGCCTACTGTCACTATCTAACACCTCCATCATTTACTATACCAGATCCTGCCCCTACAATCTGTATCGGACTTGCCTGCTTCCCGAGTGTCGGCATAACCATAGTACCTGACACAGCTACGAAGACCGGCAAGTTAAACGCGGTTGCTGCTGCTGCTTCTGTAGCCGCTACTACTGTGACGGTCACAGAGACTACTTACACCGTTACAAGTACAAGCGTCACTACGATTCCAGCGTCGACAACAACAGAGGATGGTAAGCTCAGATAAATACCCCTATTGGAAGCTAAAGAAGCTAACATACCACTATTAGTCTACCAAACGATTATCGCTACTATGTAAGCTCGGCCTTAACAGTTGCCATTGATATAGCTTCAGTATAAAGTAAATTGCTAACTGAACTAACTGAAGAACACCCGCCCCGACAACGAAGTGTGACGATTCTAGGCCTCCACGTACTGTCACTATCACGAAGCCCTTCGCGACGGTCACGCAAACAGATATCGACTACACTACTACGCATGTCGAGGCTATTATTTGGGTCGGGTACGTAGTTTTCTCTGTTCAATGACTAATTCATCAAGTGCACTTCCGTATAAGTATTGTAGCATAGCTAACATTTCGTAGAAAAACTTCATACAAGACATCGACGGATAAGTCAAGCAAGACATCCTGCTCGAGGAACGGTGGATGGTACGGAGCTGATGGAAGTATGCCAGTCACGGCTACGGCCTAATAAGTTCATGTCTATATTAATTCCTACCATAGGGAGTACGAAAGGTAGTATCTTGTGAGCATCACGCGAGAGAAGGAAGATGATATCCTTGTCGGCCCCCTATTGCGCCCTGGCTTCAGTATCTAGGATTTCTACCTATATTCAACTACGCGAATACCTAAATTATAAGGTGTTCCCTTCATGTGATCCAGCATCTGATAATATTGATAATATCAAGATTACCTAAGATTTATCGGGTTAGGTATCCAAGGTATGCTATGACGGTAAGCCAAATAAAGGGCGCATCGATGCCGCAGTCGCAGCTTTGGTCTCATCATACGACCGCGGATCCGGCCCACGAGAGAGCTGTAGCCCATGGCGTGGTACTGTATCCTTATAGGCATCATCCGGTAGCGACTTTCCGCTGTGGCAGAAGTCACACGAGCAGGGCTGAGGACCGGTGCCGTGGTGATCGCACTAACATGTTATAACGAGAGTTAGTAATTCCTTTCCGCGTAAAAGAGAACCATATATCTCAAGGACAAGAAGTCCGGCCATAGCTAGGTAGTTGTAAATATCAAATACGTACCCCGAAATTCATATCGCTAAGCATGCCGCAGCACGTCCATCGAAAGCCTTGCGGCCAGTACTGATGCATGCGGATGTCATCCGACTTGAAGTCTTCCTCGTATTTGCGCTTCAGTTCCGCCGACTCGGACACGACACAGTTGCCCCAACCCAATTCATCGCCGGTAACTGAGCAAACACCACCCCAGGTGATGAGTTCCAGCTCGCCGAAGTGCGAGCCGCCGTCCTCGCATTTTCGGTACCGGTCGTACCACTGCTTACCCGCCGCCATATCGGCCCTAGCACGACATTCGTCCTTGTGCAATGGCCAGTCTTTTTGCTGACAACTTGTACCTGGAAGTTATGATTAGCTTTGGTAGTCTCGGCTGTGGATATTGAGCTAAAAGGGTGGCTTACTGCAGTAGAAGCTAGCTTTGCATCTCCCGCAGCGCTTAATGGCGATATCTCCCCCTTCGGCTTTTCCACAGACTCCACATTTCGATTTTTCTTGGTTCTCTGACATTATACTAATATTTTTGACTTGCAATATGTCTAGTTGCCGTCTTTGATTTTACTTAACTCTTTAGATTTTACAATAGTTGATGATGCGCATATGTAGGAGGGAGAAAAAAAATTTTGTTACGTGGAAATTTTTGAACCTATCTAAAACTAGACCACTGATAGAGGCAAATCATTGGTCGCCACTAGGTAGAGGTGGCCTATGTTGCCCTCGGTATATAGGTAGATTAAGAAGGCATATAGTGGTCCCTGCGCGCAGCGCATAAAAGAATTAAAAAGGGGCTCGAGTACATTAATCGACGATATGTGTTCGTATATACCTTAGGTGCCTACAGATATTGAACTAATTGGCTAGGTAAACAATGCTTAATTTACTTGTATAATAGTACCAAGTTGTCTTCGTTTCTTTCTTGGCCGCATTTCCATATCATCATTAACAAGAACGAATCACTCATTGATACTATGAAAATTCAATCATCTCCTTTTATCTCCAAGTCGCATCTTCTTTATATAACTTCCCACGAAACATTGGTGTGGTGATGCTTTTCTTTATGATACCCCATGCCTTGACAATGCTCAGTTCTCGCTTAGTAGCAGTATACATTATCTACCATATCGCCACGCGCCCCTAAATTAAAGGGCAAAAATATCACCTGATCATAGTGGTATTATCTATACCTATAATGTATTGTAAAGGGACAAGACCCCAAGAAGACAACTAAAGAGACAAAGTCATGCCAAACACCAGGCAATTTATAAAGCTATTATGACCTGCGAGATGTTTACTTAAAACCCATTTCAGTAACCAATAAGTTAAATAAGAGGAAAACCAAAATTAGAACAAGATGTGCGAATACACGATCCCGGCATTCATATGCGGCTGTCGCGCCGTAGGCCCCTCGAAGCTAAACATGCAGTGCGATGACCCTCGTACTGGCTGTGCAGACACACCATCGATATTGATCTTGCCTCGTCGGTGCGACGATGCTAGGAATCATGTCGATGAATAGATCGTCTAGTACGCATTAAGGGGTATGTTTCGAAAGATAGGGGGCCAAAAGGCATTATCAATCAACAGATTTTTGTACAGCGATAGATAGGGGTAACGAGTTGAGACAGGTATCTAGAACGGTATAAAATAGGTGTACACACAAGTAGGAAGGTAAGCCTAGTAAGGCAAATATAGGGTGATTTCTACAATATCAAACATTTAACGCGTGTTTATCTGCTGACGCATTGCGACTTCAACCCTCCGCTGGAACTCAAGGAATTACTAGCTGCGCGTCGGGGGCGCCTTGTCATTTGAGATTTGATTATGGCAGGAGACTAATTATACAACAGACATCTCACTTCTGTCTCATCCATCACGACTGGCGCTTCCAGTTCTAATAATATTGGTTAGAGCCCTAAAGCGGCCCCTGCTCTGTTGGATGAGACACTGCTCTTCGTAGAGTAACAATGTCGGGGGCTAGATGCTTCGTCACACCCATTCTTGAAAGAAGGGGCCCCGGCATATATGATTCATGATGATAACAGACTCCCTCTATTCACCAATACAATAGCGTCTTACTGCTGCAGGCCATGTAGTACAAGGACGAGTGGCGTTACGGCTGGGTTCGAACAATCACCTAAGGCTCGATTTTCAGCTGCTTATATCTGTGGTGCCGCTGTCTTACATAGGAAAAATTTAAATATATCATGGGGCGGACTTGAAAAAGCAATGTTCAACTTTCTCCAAGTCCTTAGTGGCGTGTGGAGTACCCCCTAAGGATGAGACTTGCTGCCTTGTGCAACTTCGGCAGTGTTATAATTATCAGAAGGATACGAAGATCATCAACTAGGTCTGATTCGGTGAGGGCTTGAACGAGGAAGGGCCTGGGAGCCATTGTTCAGTTTTGGCTGCGCGGTTTCTGCTGGTCTCGTGGGACGTAGCAAGTGCCCTGGTGTTGGAAAAATATAAATACCCTATCAAGATTCCTCTATTTTTCTGTCTATCGGCATCTTCTTGCACATCCTTGACTACTACAATCAAACTACGTTCGACTCTTTCATCTCTACACCATGAAGTCTTTCGGTCTCTTCGGCACTCTAGTTGCCTCTGCCTTGCTTCCCGCAACTCAAGCAACCTGGTGTCAATTCTTCTACGACAGCGGCTGTTCAAACAGCGCCAACGGCAAAACCAACTTCGATTGTGCCAACCACAATGTCTTCGGAAGCGGCGGAGGCTTCGCCAAGTGCCATGGCACGAAAGCAAGCAAGCAATCATGCTTGATCCATCGATGCTCTGACGGGTCATGTTCAAACAGTGAAACATTTAACGTCGCTTCGGACCAGGCCTGTGTCAACATGGGGGGCGCGGGGCCATACTATCAAATATATTTCGCCTAAAGTCTCACGGGTAGGTTTATTATAACAAGCACGGTATAGTCAAAAAGCTGATTAGGATAGTAGTTAATAACATTGTGTATTATTCAGTGGAGAAGTCTCAAACACTATAGATTTATACACTCACAAAAGAAATACGGAAGCTTATGTGGGGAGGGAGAGCCAGGTATCTAGGTAGTTGTATGCTACAATTTACCTAGAGTTGTTCTTTTTCATTGCTGTGTCTAAATTACTTGGTCTAAATGCGAATATCTCTCAAATGTGAAAAGCATAAATCTAAATGTGCGAATTATTCCAAGTAGGTAGTTATGTTGTTTCATAACTATCTTATAAACGTAACTATCATATTTCATCAAACAGGTATATAAAATATTCCGAATATTTAGGTACCCTAAAATATCCCAATGTTCATCGTACTGAAGTTCTATACGTACTATGAGCAGGCTCTTGTAAGCCTTCTTATTGGTTCTTATAAGATACATAGTAGTGTGTCTATTCCCCATTGCGTCTGAAAATTGGCGATCCGACAGCGCCACCTCCGCACTTTTACGAAAACTCCACCTCAACGACCGGCCCGCGATATTCATGTTTCCCCCGGATGAAATACCAAAAAATCGCGAACAAAGTGGTAAACCCAAAAGTAAGAACACTGAAGTTCATGTTCGCTGCAACTACTGGCGTAGCCGGGGGCCAAAAGGCCCAGAACCAAAGAACGAACAGATACACACAAGCAAACACGTTGTTGATCACACCCAGCACTCGCGGGATGCGCCAAGGGCCCCATTGGATATTCCCATAGCCAACCAATGTTGCATCAGAGTCATGTGCCTCGATACCTTGAAGGCGACGCCAAAGGAGCAGGCTACAACTGAGCAGGTAAGAAGAATAGAGTCCAACAACGCTCAAGTTAACGATGTTGCTAAACGCAACGCTTGAACCGAGAATTATGAGAGAAAGTAGTACGGAGACGGTGGTGGTAAAGCCGATAGTGTAGATAGGGATGGAGGTACGCTGATCAAGCTGGACTTGCTCGTTAGATGCCAACTACGTTAAAGCAATAGTGAGGGAATAGAGAACTAGTACCTACCTTGATGAAGTGTTTCCACAAGGGAATTCCTCGGTCCCGTGAAAAGGACCACAGCATTCTAGATGACGATGCTAAAACGCCGACCGTGCTACAGATACCAAGAGCCACAACGACTAGACCCATCACAACAGCTCCAGGTATCGACTGAGTTCCCGCCTGGAACACAAACAAAAATGGGTATCCCAAGGTGTTTTGAGATTCCAGGACCGCGTCCAAGTCTCCGAGGCAGAAAAGATAAGCAAGCAACATTGCGAACCCCAAAACGCCATTGAGTATGATAGTAATCAGGATAGCGCGTGGTACCACGGTAGATGCATTTTTAATTTCCTCCGCCATCTGTACAATTCATTACTCGTTAGCATTTACACTATTAGTGCTAACTTGTGAGTACCCTAGGTAGATAAAGCAGTCGAATTCCTTACGTGCACAGCCGAATCAGCGCCTTAAGTGCTATCAGTCAGCCAACCCATTCCTTAAACTTGACTGATTTCCTTGGTACTCACCGATCAAAGAGAATACAGCACTGGGCAGCCCAACCATGAACGAGAGCCCCTGTGTGGGCCATCCACCCTCGTTGACGAATGTCGTGAATATGGACGCATCGCCATGGGGGGCGAGATACACCAAAGGAATCAAGATGCCGAGAAAACCTAAAATGTGAAGGATCAATATTAACCCTTCAAATTTAGCAAGAGTTTTGCTGGCAACGGTATTGATGAATACTGCAAAAGCTAAAATTGCCCAGAGGAAGAGCATAGCTTGCCATGGTTGAGGGCTGTAATCGGGCTTGGCCAGAATAATAACACTCTGTAGAAGAGTTCCTATCAGATACGCCGCCGAAGCCGTAACGGCTTGCCAGCGGTTGGTGCCCTATGAATATCGTGTTAACAATGCGCATCCTAAAATAGGTGCATGTACCTAGGTAGGGTCATGACTTGCATTGATGCTAATTCTGACAAGATGGCAAACACTGAGATGGTGCCAATCCATACAATAAGATAGCCCCAAATTACGCCTGCTGGGCCGCCGCTACTACTATGAGCTACGTCTATTTTTTGAGCAAAGGGGTGCACATACTTCACGAGGCTCTGAGTTGAGACTCTTCAGGATGTTAGCTCTCGTTCCTACTAAGCAGGTACACGTAGGTACCTAGGTAGGTAGGTAGGTAGGTAGGGTAGATCATGACGAACATCAACATTCCTTCCCATGTTATGAGAACTGTGCACGAGAACCCAAGGACTGACATAAACCCAAAGTTGCGCTATTGATACCAGTTAGTTACAAGATAACAAAAGTCGGAGTGTAAGGCTTGCCTTTAACACCGGCTTTTTGCCTAGCCTCATCAAATCTCTCTCATCTCTGGTGAGTTCTGAGCCCCTTCCGACCAATGAAGCCACTGAAGTTACTACTTTCGCTTGGTTTTGGAGTTCAAAATCCATGGCAGATGATGGTCTTCGAATTGAGACAAAATCACGGATGGTTCAGTCTGATCTGGTTCTGTTTAGTGTGGGTAGAATAGGTTGTCCAGATGGCTTGCAGGAAGGGAATAACAAACGCCTTTGAGGGGGCGACGGAGCAGTACAAGTACACCCCTACCTAGGTTGTGTTACGTCGTATTCTTAATATCTCACATTTAATGACATTTATCTATCATCTACCATTTCTTGAATCGGGGGCAATAAGCCAAATTCGACATGGAATCAGACTCACATTTAACCGATGCAAGGCCAGACTCGCTGATTAATGACGATAATAGGGCCCCGTTGATACAAATTCTCTCGTGGCTCTTCCTCTCCTTCTGCATTCTGTCAGTTGCGGCACAATTTGTAACCAAACTGGCAATGTCAAAACGCTTAGGGGCTCCCGACTTGACACTCGCGGTTGGGTTGGCAAGTATACCTATCCATGTTAATGGGTATCATATATCATACCGTTCTATTACTAATTGGTTTTATGCATAGGTATTAGGTATTGGTCAAATATCCACGGTATTGAGTCCAGCAGGACAGGTTATCGGGAATTCGGCCCCACATTTCCCGGACACGGAGCTGCAGCGGGCTCTTATGGTAGGTTGGCCTAATCCAAAGTTATGACTTGATGCTAAGAACACAAGGTTTTATATTGCAGCGAGATACTCGCTATTCTTACTCTTATGGCTGTCAAAGGTAGCTTACTGGTTGCTCTACTTTCTATCACGCCGGTCTACGTGCACCGAATATCTATATATGGGACAGGTATAATCACCATGGCCTGGGGGATCACTGCGGTATTTTCCGTATCGTTTCAGTGTCCGTCACCAAGGAGGTGGGATGTGATTAACGAAAAGTGCATAAACATCGTAAGTTTGATGAATCAATAACGGAGTGCCTAAGGATGCAGAATTAACCCTCATGTTAGCAGTCTATGAAAACATACAACGCCGTGATGAATATTCTGACCGACGCCGCCTTGTTGATAATCCCGTCAATAATTATCCTGAGTGTGCAGGCTTCCTCTGAAGTCCGTATGAAAATTCTTGTGGGCTTCTTGTTCCGTGGCTTGTATGTTCTGCATAATACTACAAAGTACCTTGTCAACTGCAACCCACTCACCGTTGTGTACAGCGTCATCATAGCAACGATTATACAGATTATCTACATTCAGCATCTTGTTATCGATGGCTATTTCATACACAATGTCTGGCAGGTCGTGATCTGGAACGAAGTTGTGCAGACAGCTAGTATTATGACTGCCTGTATTCCATTTTTGAAGCCGTTCCTTCTGAGTCTAGAGTCGGGGTTCCTTCGCGCTGATGATATGAATCGACGAACAGCTGTAGGTATTGGGTCTGAGAATATTTCTTCCGGGTGGGCGTTGAGGTACATTAAGATGAGAAGTTAGCCAGTTCGTAGTAGGTCAATTGAACTGTGCTGTCTACGTAATTGATTTAAATATTTCGATAGGTATCAAAAGAATAAAAGCAGAAAGTAATATCTTTGAGACTCATTATGATAAAGTTGACACTATAGAACGATCCAACCTTATACGCGTGATTCTACTATTAGATCGTCACAAAACGGTCACTGCCTCTATGCCAATGTCTTCGGTCTACAACAAACCACCCTGATGAAATCATCGAGTTAGGAGAAGGAATCATAAGTTGTAACTTCTCGAAAGATGTCCGATTTAATACATGTACCCGTGCTCGAGATATCAAGTAACCTCCGAGATTAACCATCAACTTCGTCCTGGTCCCAGTCAACTCCACATTGTGAGTTGTAGTAAAAGATTGGAATACTAATTTACGAGCAGCTCATTGCGTCGACACGATCAGACGTAGCCTGATGTGCAAAGCTGATCTAGCAATATATACCGCTTACTGGATTGGAGACCAGAACGCTCTTCCCAGCAAAGAACTTCGGTCAAATTCGGATACCGTATGCGTAAATTGGGAAGCCGTTGAGGTATGGTCGAGGGCGAGGAGTTTGCCAGCGGGTTACAAGGTCAGGCCCGGTCCGTTCGAGAAAGACCAACATGCATCTCAGGGTACCTCAGGTGATAATCAACATACCCGTGGGACGTAAGGGAAATCCATGACTACCTAAGGTACCTAACCTACCTACCTATGTACCTACCTAAGTACGTACCTCGGTAGCATTCAATGTACCTAAGAGTTACATCTTTTATGTGCAACCATCCCAAGACTTCCAATCACTTAGGCAATCAACGTCTCCCTTTACAGCTATTTCTTCTCATACGCCCCCGCCATCTTTACGATTCACTAGGTTACTCATGCCCGAGTTTACGAGGGGTTATTGTGTCGAATTTTTTCCATGGCCCAAATAGGAAAGTAACTCAATGGGCAGTATCTGGCACGTGCACCACTTTTTAAGCGGTTTGATTGGGTGCACGACCTGTATATGTGGGGCATGGCTTGGCGTTTTCGTCGAAACCAGCTCCAAAGGCTAAAATAGCTCTGATTGGGTGCATCACTTGAATGTGGGCCCGACATTGATAAGATAACGCCACGTGACCACATACGTAGCCGCATGTGGCCACGTGACCTGGCGACAGGCCATTAAAAACAAAAGGGATAGACTTTCGCTTACGCTTTCGCTTTCGCTTTCGCTTTCGCTTTCGATGGAGGCAAAGGCAGCGGCGCTTCGCGCCGCTGACTTTGCCTGTTATATAATGCGTTAGGTAATTAAAAAAGGTGCGAGGTTGAGGAATCGAACCTGGGGCCTGGGAAGGTGTGGCCGGGATAATTTCGGGCTATAGTATAGCCAGGTGATTACGTAAGGGTTGTTACGTAAACTCGGGCTATTGTGCAGCCCCCGGGGGTTGCCTCCTGTTTACATCCTCGCAACTTATTATCACCAAAACATATGATACTGCAAGAAGGTTTTTTTTTTTTTTTCTTTTTTCAATTATAGATTCATCGTCATCTCAAATTGGAAAAATGGCAGAGGGCACTGTGCAGTTTGACGTTCCCGGCCTCTCCAAGCCTTGTCATACCTGGTACAAGATTGTCGGTGATCTCGAATCATCTGCCCCTCCTCTAGTTGTCCTACACGGAGGACCCGGAGCATGCCACGATTACCTGCTGCCATTGAGCGATCTTTCATCCTCTAGGCCGCTCATCTTTTACGACCAAATCGGAAACGGGCGCTCGACCCATCTGCCGGAGAAAAATGGCGACGAAGCCTTTTGGTCCGTGGATTTGTTCAAGAATGAGCTCGACAACCTCATCACTAAGCTGAAGCTCAATTCGCGACCGATTGACGTCTACGGACATTCGTGGGGCGGTATGCTTGCTGCAGAGTGGGCGTCAACGCCAACGAGTTCGGGAAACCTCCGACGTCTGGTCCTCTCCAACAGTCTGGCTAGTATGGATACGTGGCGAGAAGGTATCAACACCCTGAGAAAGCAACTCCCCAAGGACGTCCAGGAAACTCTTGACCGCGCAGAAGAGAAGAAGGAGTTTGAGACTCCGGAATACGAGGCAGCCATGGAAGTCTTCTACAAGCAGCATTTCAGCCTCGCAAGGCCGTGGCCGGCGCCGGAGGTTCAGGCGGCTCTTGATTGGTTCGCCAAAGACTCTACGACATACGGCACCATGTAAGATCCAGTACGTTCACCCATAACTAAACAACTCTACTAACCGCATAAAAAGGTACGGCCCAAGCGAGTTGTACATCTCTGGCTCCCTTCGCGACTGGACTTGTATTCCGTCGCTGCACAAAATTCAGGTACCAACACTCTTGATCAATGGAGTACAGGACGAAGCACAGGATGTCACAATGCAGCCATTCTTCGACGAGATCAAGAAGGTCAAATGGATCAAGTTGGATAATGCTGCGCACTTCTCACATGTCGATCAACGGGAGGCGTATATGAAGCATCTAGGGTCATTTCTGGCGGCCTAAATAGTCATATCAACGTTGCCCAGATTGCAGGCACTATATCAAAGTGTTAACTAAATTAGCGATAGGGAATGAATTACGATGATTTGCATGAGAAGAAAGTTAAGAGTACCCAGTTAATACTTAGATAGGTATTACGAGATACTTATACTTAAGACTCCAGATAACTAGGGTTATGATGCGCTCTACCGTGTTGTTCTAAATTTACTCTAAACTTAACCCAACTTGTCTATAAATTCATCATATCATGCCTTATGCCACATGCCTCATGACACTCCCGAATGCTCTAAATGCCGATGCGCACATCATATCTAAAAACAACAGCGAAAAGCATGCAATGCTCATGTACGCCCTTCGTCTTCGTCTTCGTCCCCTTCTAGCCATATCTCATGTCCGTTTCCTTCTCTGACCCAGAAACTCGCAACTAAACCACACAGAGCCACACCGGCAAGGCCCCAAAACACACCGCCGACTATACCGTGGCTCAGGCCAAGACCATAGAGCCATCCGCACATGACCGGTCCAACCGTCCGGGCGAAACTGCTGACACTCTGTCCAAGTCCATGAACAGTGCCTAACACACTAGGGTGCGGCGTGCAATTGTTGACTAGAATCGTTTGGGCGGGGAGTGCGAACGTGCGTCCTGTAACTTGGATGAACAACACGCCGGCAATGGCAGCCCATATCCAAGCACCTGTCTTCTGACTCGGAGGCGGCGTACTCGACGGCACAATTGATAGAAACGGGATTAAGGTGTACGCGATAGGGAAAAGAAATAAACACATGCGCCACGAGCGGACGGTACCCAGTCGCGATGATAGACGAGGGTATAGAAATAGCTGCATCGTAATACCAATTACACCCAGGATCGCCATGGCCATGCCGACAGAACTAGGAGGCAAACCAAGTCCACCCGTGAACCTGAAAGGTAGCTGCGGCTTAAAATCCGGCGGGTCTGGATTTTTTGGATTGTAAACAGGCGTTGAGAGGAAGATGAACCAGAGCGAATTAAAGGTACCAACGTGGAAAGCAAGGAAGAAGTGAGCAACAAATGTAAAGGATACGTTTGATGTGAATATGCGACGGAAGGGAAGTCTAGTCGTGTACCTATGCCTAGATGGCCTCTTCGAAGTCGCCGGCGCATTTTCAGACGAATCCCTCGGTGTAACGGGCGACATTTCCATATTTGTACTTATACTAGAAGTCTGTGAGTGTAGACGCGTATATGCTATATTCGTGCCGCGTTTCTTGAACAGTGGCGTGAATAGTGATGTCAATTTCCGGCCTATGATAATCCCGAAATCCCGCCTGTCTTGCAAGGCATCATGTGTCTGGTATATGTAAGATAGTAGTTCTAGCACGAAATCCGACGCGCGGGGGTATAACATACCTCTTCCAAAAACATCCAGCACATTAATAAAGCGATGAACAGAAACCCTGTGCTAACAAGATTTGGCATAGCATAGGGGAATTTCTGGAGGAATTCTATGTTGCCAAAGGTGTCAGGGTATGAGCCTGCCGGGTCAGATAGGACGCCACCAAGGACTGGGCCAATGATGACGCCGATATTAAACGTCATGGGCAAGATTAGGAACGCCCGGGACTGGTATCTGTAAAGTTGTTAGGTCCAGTATACTAACTACACAGTTTGTAACTAAATTGCAGAACATACTTCTTTTCACGGACAATCTCGCTAATCCTGTAGTTCTCAGTGTCAGTACTACTCACAGTCATTATGGCCGAGATATCGGAACCTACATAGTCCTCATCACTCCAACGTTGCCATTAGTTGCGCCACCTAGAGCTCTAAATAACAGAGCTTGGGAGAAAGACGTCGAGAACCCATATCCAAGACATGAAATGACTGTCTCTCACGTTAGCAAATTTATCATCAAGCCTTGTCTAGAAGGAAAGGGGGAACATACGAGTTCCAAACAATCCTATCATGATAACCGTCTTTCGGCCGGCCCAAGTAGAATCGGCAACCCGGCCCCATATCATAGCAGTGAAGAACTGCGCGGCGGTGAAGCTCGCATGCAAAATACCGGCCTGGCTCGAGATGGTAGAGTCCGGCAGACTTGGGTCGAACCATCGTAGCTGGTAGAACATGTATGACTACCTCATGTCAGCAACTAGAGGTCATCATGCAATATACCTTGGGGAGAGATATGATGGTAGGGTAGGGTCCAAAGGGATTGACACCATACCTGCAGAGACGTCTGGACTAATGGCTCACTGAGCCGGGCTAATGTGATGACTACCAACTGCTTCTTCTTAGGTAGATCACTCCAGGCCACCACTTTCTTAGAGTCACTCGGCCTCCGGCTGCGTTCTTGGTAGTTAGCAACCGCCGCGTTGGTGTCGATAGTTAGGATGCCGGCACGGGATGCCACCAGCCGAGTCCCATCCTGCCCGCTCTCGTCTCGGATGCCGAGCCCGGGATCAACCGCGGCAGATTCCTCTTCGGAATCAAAATCGAAGTCGCTCAAAGGGCCCCGGTCTTCTTCCTCGACGTCATCGTATTTGCGACCGCTCATTGGCCGTCTCACCGGCTTAACAGACAGAGATATCTAGCCTGAGGTCTGGGGTACGCTCACGTAAAGGAAGAGGGTCCTGTTAAGTATTCACAGCGGACAGAAATTTAGATTCGGGGTTCAATTCTAAGTTAGACCAAGCGAAATAATTTAATACTTGAAAATCAATTGAACTGAAGGACGTTCGCTGACTAGAAAACAAAATAGATTACGCTACGTCTATCTCCAGTGTCACCAACAAAGAAAAAAAGAAGAAGAAAAATCGCTGTCAGGTGCGCAGGCCGGGCAGGCTGATCTTCTGGGACCGATCTAGCCGAAGTCTACCTCGCTGCCTCGCCGCCCCAACGTTAAGTGGTGGGAGAGTTCCGACAGCGTTTAGGTGCAGAGGGATACAAGATTGAGATGGGTCCAATGAAAGACCGGCAGCGACACATCGATGAGGCAATCAACGGTCCATTGATGCCACACACTACTTACAAAGTTGAGACATGATTCGCTGGTTTCTAGGATCCAGGATTCAGCAGGGTGGACTCAGTAACTATTAAAGCCAATCAGCTCGTCGCTTTAGAAACCCTTGCAAGACAAACTGGAGCTTGGTTCAACTCTTAACAACGTACGGATCCGTACACGGGCCGGGGATGAGCATTCTCAATCTCATATCCTTACATAATATTTCAAGACATGTCCGACGTAACTGATAGAATGTATCATATCTAAAAAGATGCTGGCTAACTGATATCCGCTATCTATGCGGGTGTGGCGTGTAAATGAATCAGTCTTTCCCAAGTCCTATTCTCTTTCTCTATTTCATACATTTTCTAAATGTTTCCACCGTGGAATCCGTACAGAATTCTAGAAATCTATGTTCCAATTATCATCTCCGAGGAATCCAAACATAAACGGGCTCCATGCTTGATTGTAAGGGGCCCAAGGAGCCCAATTGCTAGAACCGCTAACTATCTGCGGCTCGCCCGGAAGCCCAATATCAGGTACTAGCGTTAGCTGAGTCGAGAACCAGCTCTTGATCCATTCAAGCTTCGTCGCATATTTATAGAAGCGATCAGTTTTTATGTCATCAGCCGTATCCGGTGTGAAGTTTACCCCGAAAGTAGCCGCGGCTTCCGCAGCCCTCTGTCCCTCGAGGTTAATGATGTTCTTGAAAGTCGATATGACACTCTCCATCGTCGCCGGGAAATCGAATGTTTTCCGTGCTTCGGCAAGGTCCCAACCGTCGATCTCCACTAATAGAAGTCGCGAGGCTGCGACGAGGACGAACAGGATCTCGGAAAATGAGGTAAAAGACCGGTATAGAAATCCCTCCGTGCCTATTGAGACTATAGTCGCGAAGAATGATCGAGCTGCTTGTAAACAGTAGAGCATGCACTGTCGTTGAAGCTGTGCTGCTACTTCGTCTTGTGGTGGAGATAGACTTGATGCTGGTAGATATAACCGGACTAGGACGTAGTTATGCATCGCCCAGAATAATACTAAGTAATCGTCAGCACCTAGTGGCAGAGGTCAAATCTTGGGGAAGTCTTACCAAATTGTCTGTGTTCTCGGGCCATATTCGCAAAGAGCTGGTTAAGTTGATTGCGAATTGACTGCATATCCTCGTTCATGGATATGGTAAATACTTTCGAGCGTTCCCCTTCGGATGGCATAGGTAACTTCTCCGATATCTGCTCGACGATCTGCTGGAATCTGACAATTTTATCAAGGATGAAGTCTGTGCCAAAGTCTGTAGGGTGTACTACCGAGTTGAGACAGCGATCTACATAGTCGCCTTTCAGCACGCCATCTCTCCCAAACTGTGATGCGTTCCTAGTCATGTCAGCCCATATGTAGAATAAGGATCCAAGGTGCTTGGTTGCATGCTCACACTGAAAGAAGGTATTTGCAACCCAGAAAAGCTCGCTGTTCTTCAGGGGTATGTGACTCTTCCAAAACTGTCGTCATACTATAACTCATCAATGCTTCCTTCACGTCTTTCTAGTAACCCGAAAAATATTGTGTTAGCTTTGAAATCCTATCATCCTAGAAGTTTCAAACTTATTTCTTAAGCAAGTCAAAATAGTAGGATCATATCACTCACTGCTACGCGTTAGCCGTTGTACATAAAAGAGATCCCGGAAACTATCCGGGAAAGGGGGTTTTGGAGATCACAATACGTAATTCTTTATACATACCCGGGTTTGCTGCTACTGTCATTTTCTGCTGCATCGTGGGAGGCGGCCGCGTGATTGCAAGGTTATGGGCGTATCCCATTGCAAGGTGAGTCAAGTAAGTTATCTTCTGATCGAAGTAGAAATCATGTTCGCCCCTACGCCACAGGTTAGCGAGTACATCATAGAGATATGCGAATACACCTACCAAGCTATGAAAACCAGTAGACCTTGAAGAATGCCTAGATCTCGTTCCTCCATTACCAGCACGTGCTGGCCTACATAGGCGAGTATGCTTTTTCTGATCTCACTTTGCTTCGCGAGCGTAAGATTACTCGCTACCAGCATGATAGCTCTGAATAATAGGGGCTTCTTGGCTAGGATTTCCTGTGCGGTGACATCGGGATCAAGAACGACGAAGGGGAAAAAGGGGGTAAACTTGATTTTGAAGTTAGATACTGCGTGCTCAGCTTGATCCCAAGTTAACCCAAATCCCGGCTGAGAGATCTTCTTAGCAGGTAAGATTGGAAGTGGTTGCGATACTCTAGATGTGGGGCTATAGGGGTTTCCCAGAGTCCGTGTAGCTGTCCCATTGTATGGGGGGCTTTCCGTCACTGGGGGAGCAGGCGGGGGTGTTATGCTCTCAACAGATGAATCATGATCCGACGTCGTGAACGGGCCAGCTTTAAGTAAGATATGCCCATAGTTAGGAGGTCTCATAAAAGCATAGCTATCATTGGCAGGGTCCGCGGGCTCAGTACTACCACAATATTACTTAATGTAGAGTCGGGATTAGTTTTAAACAGGGAACGTACTTGGGAGGCTTAATCTGGCGAGGTCTCCGTAAGCTCTTAGAAGTCTGGGGAGCACAGATGATTTTCATTCGCCGGCACCTAATTTAGCAAGCTGTCAGATCTAGAATTCTACCTATAATAGGAGAGAACTTCTGTAACCTATCACAACCATCTTCAACTTTATTCCCTTCAAAGCGGCAGCGAGCCTTGGCCTTTGTGCAAGGCGCACATGCACGCTGACGCCTTGGTGGACTCGCAGGGCGTTCGGTAATCTGCTGGCGATTGGATATGTTTGCCATCTTCGCGTCTTAATTGGTCCCGGAGCAGCCCCGGACGCCGGGATTCAAACAAAGGAGATAAACGCCGTGCTACCTGCTATCTAGCAAATACTAACCCGGAACTCTTGAAGCTTGTTACACGAGCTTTTGCGCACTGTCCGTAGCGCTGAAGTATTATAATAAACCCGGATGCTTAGTCCGGCGCTTGTCAGGTTTTAGGACGGTCAAGGGAAAGAGTCAATAGTAAGTAAATGAGGTTAAAAGCTAGATTACTTTTAGTATTCAGTATTCCGTGTCTACGTGATAAGAAGTGGCTTAGCGGCAATACCTCGGGTTGTAATATCCTAGCGTTTAATGGGTTTTAAGCGTGGATATAAAGTAAACATTATCCCGGCTTATCCCGATTTTGTTTTTTGGGTCTAGAAGCTTAACCCGGTCCATGTCGGGTTATGAATTACTCCATATACGGCGAAGTAGATCCATCATGTCAGGCTGTTAAACCGCACCGACCAATGACTTGAGGCAAAGACTATTAATATCCTTACCCAATCATACTGATTAAACCAAGGTTGAAGAATGGCATTTGCATGTTTATTGTTCCAATCAAGAGAATGGCTTCTCAATGAGTCCTTAACCTTGATAACTGATAACTTTGCTATCAATATAATTGTTGGGTTTACTTGGTAAGGGCGTTTAATCAAGCCAGCTGATGACATATAATATTGGGAAACTCCTTTTATTGTTCTATTTATTATGACGTCTTATAAATAAGATACTTCTAGCAAACTACATAAATATTAAGCAATAAACTAGAATCCGAACTTATATCTAACAGAAAACTAACGTTGCATGAGCATAAAATATTTAAGAATATTGCAATGGGGTGTTATTAAGCTAATGGTATAGCTTTTTTATATTACAATATTATCAACAGAGAATCATGTCGCTTAAACTACAATGTCAGTAATGTTCCCAATTAAAGGCATTAAATCTTTAGACCATTGAGATTCTCAGGACAAAAGGCTCTTAGCTATTTTAGTAATTTAGTCTCAGCTAAATTTGTGGTATTTCTAGCTTAACAAAATTGCGTCCTTACTAATTGCTTGTATCCTTACGATGTTTAACAATTTAAAGGTTTTACTACGAATATAATCTTAGTCACTTTTCATTTTCCCACTTACAACTGGAGTTCCTAATGTACCTAATTAACTATGTAATCTATAAAATTGTAAAACGTTAGACCTAACATTAGAATTCTCTCGCGGGGAATACTTCAGAGCGTCACACAATGCCTACATGGTGTATGGGCAAAACAAATTAACATATACTAATTTCCCATGGTCTGCTCATTCCATGGCGTTTATTCCACCACGTCGTTGCCTATGAACGCTTTATGAGTTATGCAAGAAAGCAATTATCTTGGTGTTCAAGCAAGTTTAAACAGATTCTAGGCGTTCTCAGAGGGAGAGTAAAAGGTAGACGTATATATACGCATTAGCATCGCTACACCTTGTTCCTTTACATGACCGTACTTCTACAGAATACGAATGGAATAAAACGAAAGGGTATGACAATATTAATACCTAGGTATTATTAACACAGTGTATCGTATATCTAAAGACATGTAAGAGTTAAATTTAGATGTTCTTATACGCTGCTGTGACTCTTGTCCTTATGTTTTCTTTGCAGATATCTGCCACGAATAACGCATAGAATCCTTACGAAACGGCTTATAGGGATGGCCATTGTCTGGGAGCCTGTAAAAGCTGCATAGGACAGTCCTAGCTCAGGCTTCTGTCTCCAGTTGTCCATCTCCTAAGTAGTAGTAGAGCACCCTTCTCAGTCTGTATCACGCCGTTGATATACCTGATAGTATATCCAAACGGCTTCCTCTTTGAAAGGGGGAGCTTCGACTATCACTCACGAACACAAGCTGATGCTTTCGTTCATGTCTTCATCTCTCCATGTACTAGCCAACCCCTAATCCTCATCCCTGTGGGTGATCTCCACTGTCGTGGTATCTCGACCCACGTCGTCGTCGTCCTCAACACCCTTGTGTTACTAATATTCTATGCGTACCTGATAATCGCGATGCGTCTACCCAGCGTTGCGTTTAGCCAGCGCTGCACTTTATTTCTTTCTTCCCCTGCTAGTACCTACAATCTTCAGGTGACCTGCCCTTACCCTTTCTGCACACCACATTCACTGCCACCTTTTTTACTTTTTTAATTCTACACTTTACACATCGTCAAGTGTGCTGCCCATACCAACAGAGCACATTGTCAACCCTCGACACCTTCATCAATACTTTGTCAACTATCAGGAATCTTCCTTCATTTCTGTTCTCATTTCTATCCTTGTTTCCATCCTCGTTTGTATTTTTGTTTCTATTCTTGTTTCTATTCCTACCTCATAATCCAAGGGTTTCTATTTTTTTTTTCACGATGACGAGGATAGGTTCTCTATCCTCTTCAGGTGAGGAACCTTTCCATCTTGAGAAGTATCTTCCAGCCTGTGAAGCAGCCAAAGCTCAGGAGTTAAATCAACGCGCCTCGAAGTCTCCTCAAAACGAAGACACCACTTACATTCAGACTGCTTCAAGTAAGACGCCATCCAAGAAGAAGCATTTCCTCCGCGCCAGCATTGCAACAACACTTGGAAGAAGCAAGGATAAAACTAGTCGTGAGGAGCAGACCGGATTTGGCATCCCATCGTCTTCATCTGAGGGACGTGGCTACAGGAGACTTTCACACAATGTGGTAGCCAAATTCAAGGGCCTGTTCAATGATGACGAATCGATACCTATCACTAAGGAGAATATGCGACTGTTGAATGAGAATCCGACTAATTCCCTCCAGTCTCTAAAGCTACACGAGCCGGTACAGCAGTTGAAAGTCGACCTCTCGCGCACTTCTTCATTGAGGGACATTATCTACAATTACGATCGATATGGAGTCTTGAAAGATGACAACGCAACTCAGGTTGACACATCTAATTCTAATGGACGAAACAGCCTAGAGACGGATAATGGTTTCTTATCGAGGCGGGCTACGATGGACGGCATCATGGGACGATACAATGCACACAGAGACAGCGAGTTTAACCAAGGGGGCATGCGCAGGATGAATGATCTTGAAAGAGCCCACAACGCTCCGAATCTCCTTCAACTGAACAGTCAGGCGATCGAAGCTGGCTACGAAGATATCTCGGACCGTATGGAATATGACCCAGAGTGGGGAGGAAGCCTCGGATACTGGGCAGTTGACATGGCATCAGAAGAAGGTTACTCGACACACCAACAGGGTGAATCGTGCCCCTCTTCTCTAGTCGACAATTGGCTAGAATTTAAGGATTTCGATGGTGTTTTCATATCGTCCGATAATGCATCATCCCGACACGAGTCAATTGACTCTAAGCAGTGGCCACCATTAACCATCGAAGACGGCGCAGATGCAACATATCGTCGCCCGGGCCCCACTATTCCCCGTACCTCAGTTAGAACTCGCACAGATTCTTGGGAATTTAACGAATATAATTTGTTACCTGTAATGCTTCGCGAGGAACAGTTTTCTACTTCCCAGTCTCAATCAGAAAAATCCATTTTCTCGCTCCGACAAGAAACCGAGCGCTACAATAGAGGTTACAATAGAGGTATTTCAGAACCTGGACAAACCGTTGAACAAGCAAATCCCACACATTCGGCATATCTTCCCGACTGTTCCGACTGGTTGTGCTCCCATTGCGGCTTCTTGAACCTCCCGAGACGAACGGCCTGCCTGCAGTGCTGGGAAGAACGTGCAGAACCGCTAGGCGACACAGGTCATCGCAACCGCCGGGTGACTTTCGCAGAGCCCACGAAATTCGAGGGCAAACACGCTTCATCCATGAAGGGATACAACGCAGCCATGGTCGATGCATCGCTCATTCCAGAGCCCCTCAACGTCAAGTCCTGCCTCAAGACAAAGGCTCATCGAGAGTCTAAACCCGCCGACAAGAGTACCCAGACTGGGATTCAGGGCTCTGATGGACCGGCTCCCCATCAGAATCAGCAGACCAATGCCACCAAAGCTATCACTACGTCTAACGAGGCCGAGCAGACCGCCGACGATATCTTCGAGGAAAGACTAAAGAGAATGGAAGCTATCGTGGACAAGACCAAAGAGAACAACGAGAGCATGCAACGCATGCTAGAGTCGATGGAGGAAATATTGCAACAGATTTCCGAGAAGCGTAACGCTGAAGACTAAGCTACCAGCCGCACAGGAGGCAAACCACGCTCCTATTCACAGATCTGCGAGATGGGCCGGATCACATTTGCGTATGCGTTACATGATTTTGAGGTTGAGAGCTGGAGGATGAGTAGGAGGAGATGCTAGGAGACGGGTAGCAAACCATACGGCATAGCAGGAAATGCCAGAAGAAGCCAGTATATGGCGAGATAGCTGGAGCTCATATTACGTAAAGGGAATTCTTCACCCTTTTTCTGGCCTTTTTTGAACATCTAGTTCAATTTGTCCGATCTTGTACAATAGCACGATTGAAAAAAAACGAAAACCAAGATTGAAGATAAAGGGGGGAGAGGTCATTAATGTACGTATGTACTTAGATAAGGCCGATAAGAACAAGCAAGGCACAGACCACGTTGCTTTCGGTCACACTAACTTTATCTTAGAACCTTAGCATTGAACCGCCTACCCTTGAACCGCCTACCCTTAAACCGCTGTCATTAAACCGCCGAACCTTAGATTATCAAGTAAACGAATTCGAGTAGAACCATAGAACCAGCAAGAAATCGCCAAATATGGATCCTTACTCGGCAGAAGGCGAGCTAATAAATATTCACAATCATTTCCACCAGGGCCAGTACCAAGAAGTCATCGACTTTGACACGTCTGCTCTCTCCTCCGAAAATGCCCTACCCGCCCGAGTACTCGCCCTCCGAGCTCGCATTGCTCTAGGACAAGCAGAAGAAGCAATCGCCGACGTTCAAGGAGAATCGGAACCTGAGCTAGTAGCAGTGCGCGCCTTAGCCGAGTACAGCCTGGGGAAGACGGATGCGGCCGTTCAAACTATCGAGGAGCTTGCCTCGTCAGCCAGCGATAACCAGACAGTCCAAGTTCTTGGAGGAACGGTCTTGCAAGCTGCTGGCAAATCAGAGGAGGCTCTCGCGCTCTTGTCACAACACTCTGGTAGCCGTATGTTTATCACTCGACAAGCAATGGCTGTCTGGTCCGAATACTAATAGGTTCTTGTCTAGTTGATGCTGTCGCTTTGATTGCGCAAATCCATCTCCAGCAAAATAGAACCGATTTAGCCCTTAAAGAAGTAGCTGCGGCTAGGAGGTGGGCGCAAGATAGTCTACTTGTCAACTTAGCAGAGTCATGGGTTGGCCTACGACTGGTATGTACTACGTTGAATTGGCCTCTCCAACGGCAGAGCTAACGAATGACTTTGTGCTTAGGGAGGAGATAAGTACCAGCAGGCATTTTACGTATTCGAAGAACTCGCACAAGCTCCCTCTACATCCTCGATCGTCTCCCTCGTCTCCCAGGCAGTATGCGAGTTACATCTAGGCCGCGTCGAGGAAGCACAGAGTGCTCTCGAGCAAGCCGTGCAGAAGCAACCTGTATATGCCGAAGCCATTGCCAATTTGTTGGTTTTGTCAATCATCACCGGCAAAGATGCTGCCGCTGTTTCTGAGCTTACAAAGTATGCTTTTTTTTTTTTCTTTCGAACTAGCCTAAACGTTCCACGCATGCTAATATAATTTCTCTATAGTTCCCTCAAGAAAGCCGCCCCTAAACACACATTCCTAGTCGATCTCGAAGAAAAGAGCGAATCGTTTGACAAGGCGGCCGCTAAGTTTAGTGCAAAGGTGTCGGCTTAAAATAGGAAGGGCGGCTAATACGGGTCTTGGTGAATGTTGATATACTAGTAGACCTTGGGGACGAGGCATAAAGAAAAGGCGAAAATGCTTTGGTTATGATACTCTATGAACATGATGAATACCTCATATTGCGTCGTCCTAATATTGGTTACGTGTCTTGACCACTCTTAATTGCGGGTTGAGGGAAGCACAAGTGATATTCAGCTTAGTCTACGGAATATGATACACCGAATAACTAATCTGACGATGCTTGGAGATATATCCAAATAGGGTATTCCGATATCCACATTTGTTGAGTGACACAAACTATAGAAACCAACTCAACTTAAGTGACATCATTTGTATCTCGGAGCCGTGTTTTCTAAATCATTAAGCTTACATCTAAGAATTTGAGATTATTCAAATGCACAATGACGCTTCTCGGACTATAATATGTGTATAATATGTGAGTGTGCCTTAAAATGATATTGCAAGGGGTAAATAACTGCATCTAATTGATGCAAAAAAGAAAGGGGGTTAGTCGACCTAAGTTGACATGGTTACTGGGTGACAATAATAATACGATAATTATACGGCTCATAGGGAGAAAATACGATACCCCTCATTCACGATGGCCTCCTCGATCTATTGACCGCTCGTGAGATTGTGCTAAGAGCCTCTGGCTGGCGATCTCATCATGCCTGAAACTAACCTCTTTTTGGTATAAAACTTCCGCCATCGCTGCGGCGCTAGTAGCCCATCAATGAACATGCTGGAATTATCGTGGGATTCATCCCAAATGCCGCTTATGACGTCACTACGTCACTCGGCCCTTCTACAAACGGACTCGTCGGAGCTAGATTTGTTCTCAAAAGCCTGCGAGCTAATGCTATCTACATATGTATGTGTGAGTGGGTTATTTATCAAATTAGCGCTAAAGAGGCATTACGAGTCCTTGAGAAAAAGAGAGAACGATTATCATTTATGTAAAAGCTTCAGAAGAATATCTCACAAATGAAAGTTGTTAAAATGAAGATCATACACGCTTTGGTAGACTTGCCACCGGTCTCGAGAGGAATCTAGACTTCGGGAGATGGACATAGAGGCTGATCCGGGACCGCAAAGAACGGGTCTCGACCCATATGTTGTGTAGATAATTTTTACAAGGCCGACAAATCAAGGCGGGTATGTAGGCCGCGTCGGACGCTTGCCCAGCCCGTCCACGTCCACGTCCACGATCTTACAGATTTCTGCAAGCCCCTGGTCTGTAAACCTGGCTAAGAAATTTTGGAAATGCCCGAGTGGACCGGGTGGCGCGCAAATAGGTAACACTGGCTATCCTAGACTATGTCAATGTGCATGCCGATAGGACGATGTCTTCGTTCTCTGCCGAACTGGACCTGCACTCCAAATCGGCGCTTGCATGAAACCCCTGTATACGTTTGATATGACGATGGCTTCGTTGGACTAAGCCTCCTGTCCAGTCTCGTCATCGTGAAGGATCCTCTCGTCCCGCCAAAAGTTGTGGGCTAGGCACTTTCTCCACGATGGCACACTTTTATATAAATCTGTTGTCTCGTCGTATTTCATGACAAGTTCTTCATTACAAGACAAGACATAGAAACATATCCACCAACCCAATTCACCATTACTACATTTGTTTCCGTAGTATAGACTTCGGTTTACATTTCTCTTAGACCATTTAGACTTAAGATCATATATACAGATATATCAACATTCAAGATGCCTATCGCACTTACACCACCTCCGGTTCCTGAGGTCAAAACCCTCGGAGATGCCAAGGCTCAGTCCGCAAACAAGAGAAAGATTATCTGCTTTTCAGGTATGGTACCATATTTATCTAAACACCCTTTTTACATAGACTCGTTTACTAACAATAATATCAGACTTTGATGGCACAATCTTCATGCAAGACACCGGACACGTCCTCTTCGACAACCACGGCTGCGGCTCCACACGAAGAGAGATGCTAGACGAGCAAATCAAGACCGGCGAGCGATCCTTCCGGGACGTCTCGGAAGAGATGTGGGGATCTCTAAATGTCCCCTTCGAAGACGGCTTCCAAGTCATGGAGAAGTCCCTCGAGATCGACCCAGACTTCCAGAGCTTCCACCAATACTGCCTCAAGAACAACATCCCCTTCAACGTCATCTCCGCCGGTCTCAAGCCCATCTTAAGAAGAGTCCTCGACACCTTTTTGGGAGAAGAGGCCTCGTCGCACATCGACATCGTAGCCAACGACGCGCACATCTCGGCCGACGGCTCCGAGTGGAAGCCCATCTGGCGCCACGACACGGAGCTCGGCCACGACAAGGCGCAGTCTATCACGGAGGCCCGCAAGGAGGCGGAGACGGCGTGCGACGACGGCACGGTCCCGCTTATCGTGTTCATCGGCGACGGAGTATCGGACCTGCCCGCCGCCCGGGAGGCCGACGTGCTGTTCGCGCGGCGCGGCCTGCGCCTCGAGGAGTACTGCCGGGAGCACAACATCCCGTACATCCCCTTCGACACCTTCGCCGACGTCCAGCGCGAGATCGAGCGCATCCGGCTAGAGGACGAGAAGAAGACGGGCGGCAAGGGCGTGCCTGTCCGCTTCAACCCCCGCGCTAATCTCTGGCGCAGAGTGTCCAGCAAGAACGCTGTGCCGAGATACGTGCTCATGTCCCCGACTCGGGAGGACAAGATGTTCCTCTGGCCTGAGGCCTTCTCCGAGCTTAAGAAGCCTGAGGTCGAAGTCACTGAGACGTCTATGCCGACGGTTCAGGAGCATGCTGTGAAGCACCCGGTGCAGTCTCAGGTGCAGAGCGCTGCTTAGTTGGAGGGTAACATATCATGGTTGAACATCTATCTTTCTTGGAAGACTATATTGCATATCACGGCGTTCATGTTGGTTTATTTTTATTTGTTTGGCATGGTACAGCGATGTGGAGTTACACGATACCGCCTTGCGATAGCACGAGGAAAGGAAAGGATAGGCGTTTGGGTTAGAACATAACATGGTGAAGCTTGCGGGATACATCTAGATTATATATCATAGTTAAAGAGGGGGGTGTTCTTATAATAGACGACATTGTCAGGTAACTTGAACTTGAGTATTAGTGTTGGTTTCTTGACACGATCAACTACTATTAGGATATTGATAATTTAAGAGTCTGTTTACTAGTTGTCTCATATTGTGCTTAGATTAGGTGATTGTCTTTATTTGCATTGCCACCCACCCCTATATCGCATCATGATACACCTACAGGTTGGTTTCTTTCCTGGTTACGACGTGTCATACACGGTCCTAGACACAAATGGCATTACCCAATTAGTGAGATCGAGCCAATAGGAAGCGCAGGAGTAGCTGCTCTGCCCCCAACCTACGACAGCCTTCTTTAAACAATCATCGATCAGCTCATTTGACGTCCGCCTAGATTTGATCCTACCTCAAGCCAACCCTAGTTAAGCTAAAAATCGGAAAATCGGAACAAAGAGCAGGGAAAAGGACAGAGAGCTGGAACATAGGTAGCTAATGATGCGCATTCCGAGTTCCGTCATGGTAAATTGGTACGTCATATTGCTACCTTTCCCTTATTCATGAATATCATTGAAGGAGAGCGACGGTTTGGTAATAAGAAGGTCGACGGATCTCACGGCAAATGTTTACGTAGTACTTCGCTTTGGTTGCGGTAGACGCGGCATCCGTAATAACACCCATTCCTAATCGTGCTTCTGGAGCTCTCCGAGTAGCCGGTAATCATGTGTCTTCAGAAATCAAATAGACACTTTGCCTCCCCCACAACGGCCTTCACCCGGTCCAGTACGCGGAAGGTAGACAGGTAGATGTCGATAGGCTATACGCAGTTACGTGCCGTTGCATTTTGGCCAGTTGGGATCTTCTGGAACGCGGGATCATCGATCGCCGCCGTCCTGCAGCTAAAGAGGCACAGCCCTATTGCCAATTCGAGGTACATACATCAACAACGACCGATGACCTACCTACCTCGAGCTTGTTACTAATAGTAGATACGTCGTTGTTGTGCGTATGATCTAATATTTGATTATTACCTAGTATCGGTATCGAGTCTTTGTCTAATATTCGCACGGGCTGCACGGGTTAACCAACGCGCATCTTCGGATGAATTGCGGTAAGTTTTGCTATTAAATCTCCGAAATCCCCCCCGGCTCTACTGTATGTAAAAGAAGCTTTTCTAGCAGGGGGTTGTTTACATATGTACATATGCTTTTTAGGTTCTAAACTAGATCGAGATGAGTTTCAGGTTTATGATTAAACTTCGTGTACCTGGTAGACCCAACAATTGTAACTTTTCTTTTTCCTGTTTTATCTAACAAATCTATTTTTATTGTATAGCGACCCTCGGTAAGTTTACGCTTATGTACATTTGGTTCAAGATGTATGTACATACGGATCTGTACGCGCACGTAATTCATCGAGATTAAAGTGAACCTTAGACGTGGGTGTACTTTTGATGGGTGTGTATTTTAGGTATTTAGTGGATCGAGTTCTAGGTACATTAGGTAGCTAGTGTACCTATATGTTGGCTATGGTGACAGTGAAGGCGGGGTGATTGCCAGGCCCAGCGTCAGCGGGCTGACCCTCCTGCCCTTTTGTCCTCAAAGCTTGAAGGTGCCTGGAACAATAGAATTTCGCATGCTTCTCGTACCACGCAAGCTCGCGACACGATTGGATTGGATACCAAAACTAAACTACTGCCCCTCCAAAGGAAACTTGGCAATTAGCTTCAAAAGCATGTTTAGTCCGTAACAGCTTCTTCTATCCCAGCTTGTTTATTTTTCTTTTTTTAGTCTTATTAGTCTTATTAAATATCGTAGCTTACCTTACCTTTAACTACTCCTAAACCATACAATATCCCGCCTATCAAAGCAAATCAAGTAATTCCAAACTCAAAAGTGGTAATCTACTAACTACCAACTTACCTAGATTGGTTCGTCCTGTCCTTAGCCTATCTTACAGTCAACTGCTAGTAGGCTCTAGCCTCTAGCAGCTCTCTTTGACATCATACCGAAACACTAGCGCGTTGAGTTCAGGGCATCACAAGCCCCCGAAGGCTGAAGGGGGACTCAGCTACCAAGCAATTCCAAGACAGGGTCCAGCACAACGTCACCCGCGTTTGCTCCCTTCTTGTTCCTTGGAAATACAACCTTCCATATTTTGTACCTCTACCCTCTTTAGTCCGACTCTCCTGAAAGTCTTCCACCATGGTTCGCATTATCCCTCAACGATTGAAAACCTACACTACTAGTTCTACCAACAATTCCACCGCCAATAGCCGCAGTACAAGCCCTATGCCGTTAAAACTCGATGCCGGTGTTGCGGAGGGCCGTAGGGACACGGGTTTGGTCTTAAAGATTATCATACTTCGAGTAAGGACAACGAATCGATAGATAATATCAATTCTAGTCTCTACTACGGATTCTAACCTGCAATGATATAGGCGAGAAATTTAGCTGCTAAAGATCGTGGAGGCACATCCGACCCCGTATGTCAACACCCGTCTTCCTATTCTTAACTCTAAAAAAGTAATCCGCGGCCATTGCTAATAGTCCGTATTCTCTAGTATCTCCAACTGACCTGCGGCGAAACTAAATTTCTTACACATCATATCCCGAAGACGCTGAATCCCGAGTGGAACGTTATCTGTACTGTACCCATCACTGGCGTAGAGAACCTACTGCTTGATTGCATCTGCTGGGACAAGGATCGCTTTGGCAAAGACTATCTAGGCGAATTCGATCTAGCCCTCGAGGAGATTTTCTCCAACGAAAAGACCGAACAAGAAGCAAAATGGTATCCTCTCAAGAGCAAAAAGCCAGGCAAGAAAAAGAATAATGTCTCAGGGGAGGTTTTACTACAGTGCACTTTATTTGACTCAACAGACAAGGATGCGACAGATGCTCAGATCTTAGAAAAGCTGCACTCACTTGCTACCGCCTTGCCCGAATCTACATCCCGCAATGCCACTCCTAACATGACACCCATGCTTGGCCCGACCTCGACATCCAAGTTTGGCTCATCCCCGTCTCCCCAGTCAAGTCAGAATACCACCGATGGATCCCAGGACGACGATGATGACGACGAGATTCTGGACGATGATGAGACTCCCGAGGATGAGGACCTGAGTAAGCCCGATGCTGTGGAGAAGAGGAAGAGACGGCTCAGGATCAAGGGTTTAAAGCGTAAGAGGAGACAGAATCCTTACGAATTCGTCAACGGCGGTAGTGATGTGGTCGGCTTAATCTTCCTCGAGATTTGCAACATTACCGACCTTCCTCCCGAATCAAACTTCACGAAAACTAGCTTCGATATGGATCCCTTCGTTGTTGCATCTTTAGGCAAAAAAACTTATCGTACACGAGTTGTTCGACATAATCTAAATCCCGTGTTCAATGAGAAGATGCTCTTTCACGTGCTGAACAACGAACAATCATATTCGTTTGCTTTCACGGTTATCGATCGCGACAAATATTCCGGGAATGACTTCATTGCCTCGACCTCCTTTCCCCTACAAGAACTCATCGAAAAGAGCCCTAAAGCTAATCCCGAAACTGGATTGTATGACTTGAAGGAACCAGCTGAGTACGTCCCGGTCCAGAAATCAAGGCTCGCAAGACTCGGCCTCTCAAGGTCGTCTTCAACACAGAGCTTGGGCAAAAATAGGCCGGTGTTACCCAAGAACCCCAGTGTGACTTCGGCAACATCCCAAGAGCAGGTCGAGCCAAAGGCAGCACCTACATCCATTCCAAACCCTAGTTTACTTCAACCAGAGCAAGTGCCGAACCTCAATAGCGGAAACGGAAATGGAAACGGTGAGGGCAGTGAGTTTGACGACACGGATTTTAATGTCTTCACAATCCCCTTGAAGATGAAAAATCTAGAAAAGTGGGAGGCTAAGCACAGCCCGATGCTGACTATCCGCGCCAAGTATATGCCATATCCTGCTTTAAGACAACAGTTCTGGCGGGCTATGTTGCGACAGTACGATGCAGATGAAAGTGGCGAGATTAGCAAAGTCGAGCTGACTACCATGCTCGACACGCTTGGCTCGACTCTGCGAGAATCAACTATCGACAGTTTCTTCCAACGATTCCCTCATAAGGCAGGGAACGGGGAACAAGAACTCACCATGGACGAGGCTGTCATATGTTTGGAAGATCAACTAGATGCCAAGAGTAAATCGGCTCCAGTGACTGACAAGTTAAAGAACATGCTGCCCGACGCAGAAAAAGTGAAGAATTTGCTAAACCCATCAAGCCACACTAGTAGCGCTACGCCTTCAGAGGAAGGGTCTTTTATTCTCAGCGCAGAAGACTCGACCATTCAAGGCACTACACCCGGAACATCAACTATTGTTGTCCCCGATCTCAGCACATCTGGAGAAGAGGGTGATGCGCTAGATAAAGATGACCTAAATATTGACCGTAGCGAGGAACATGTAGTCGAAATTCGAGAGTGTCCAATCTGCCACCAGCCTCGTCTCAACAAGCGGAAAGATGCTGATATCATTACCCACATTGCTACATGCGCCAGCCAGGACTGGCGCCAGGTCAATTCACTCATGATGGGCGGGTTTGTCACGGCAAGCCAAGCGCAAAGAAAGTGGTATTCTAAAGTCATCACCAAGATTTCTTACGGTGGTTATAAACTTGGCGCCAACTCGGCAAACATTCTGGTTCAGGACCGCCTAACTGGACAGATTAATGAGGAAAAGATGAGCGTTTATGTACGACTGGGAATCCGATTACTATACAAGGGATTGAAGTCCAAAGATATGGAGAATAAGCGAAGTGAGTGCTTATGCTGATATATAACATAGAAACCGTCGCTAATAACGCTCTAGTCCGCAAACTTCTGAAGAGTCTAAGTATCAAGCAAGGCAAAAAATACGACGACCCTGCTTCGAAGGCCCAAATTCCAGGTTTCATCCAATTCCACAAGTTAGATATGTCCGAGGTCTTACTCCCCGTCGAGGAATTTAAGAACTTCAATGAATTCTTTTATCGCGCACTCAAGCCAAACGCCCGGCCTTGCTCAGCTCCAGACAATCCTCATATTATTGTGTCGCCGGCCGACTGTCGGTCTGTTGTCTTCAATAGTATCGATTCTGCGACCAACATCTGGATCAAGGGTCGTGAATTCTC